TCGTTACGTGACCCTGTACACACACTACAAACGAAAAAGCTGCACGCGGGGAGCTTCGTGGGAGGCAACTCTTTAATCGGTGCAACACAAAAGCATCGACGACATTTACAGACACCGAGGCTTACGTGGGCTCGCGGTCGACACGACACGCACGCTTCGCGCACACCGAGATTCCGACGCACGGCGACACACGCAACACGGATTGCATAAATACACACGGTCACAGCACGGCACACGGCTACGAGACGACACGGCACGGCGCCTGCTGCTTGCTAATCAGAAGCGTCACCGGTCGGGGGTGCAAATCTGTGCACAGGCCGCGACAGCCCCCATCTGTTCACAACGGGGCGGTTGAAATGTTTTTGGAGGCCCGGGGCAATATTCCAGACGATATTCCCCTCTGAGTGAGGCCCCTGCGGACCTTTCTGAGATCTACCTCCGATCGAAGGCCCGAGGCTACACTATTAAACTAAACTCTTTTTTTGTTGTTCACCAGGTAAGGCCCACTGAGCCATGTAGCTCCTTTGTCAGAAGCGACCTGGCCACAAATGATAGCTCAGCGAAGTGGCTTATCACTCTGAAATTTATAGCAGTAGCGAAATACTCTAAACGCATTTTGATTCTAAATGTGGAGGGAAAAACCGGAGGACGCGGAGAAAAATCCACGCGATCACGGGGAAAACATACAAACTCCAAATATACAGGCGTCAGGGTCATATTTATGTTGAACTTCTTTCGCATCGTACGTAGCCAACCATGCTAAACGTAGGTGCGAAGGTAGGACGAAAAAATAACAAAAAAAACCCCACGACCTCCTGTATACTAGGCGAGGTAGTTAACATCTCGCACAGTGGTTATCTGCCCCCCCCCCATCCAACTCCCCCTCTCTGCGGCCGCTGTGCTCACCCCGTACATTCAATGCATCCGAGCTACTTTGATTTCGAGCCACTCAGTGGAATTTGTGCAATTGAGCATCGGTCCGACTCTGGGAATTCTCAAACGCCTTTGTCGGTGTGCCACGGACGTGCAGATGAGTGTGCATGTTCACCGATCATCACCGAATGGGAATGGAGAAAATCGCTCAAATTGAAAATGTGGGCCGTGCAATGGGTGCGGTGCAAGGAGTGAAGTTTAATAAATCCTGTCTTGCAATTCTTTACTTTAATTATTTGGTTACGTATAATAGAAATCAAAGTGTCGTGCAAAAATGTGAAAAGAGAGGTTCTCCAACCCAACCTCCAATCCTCACAACCTCCCACTGTCCGTCCCCGCCGAGTTCACCAGTTCACCTCCCTTGACATTACGCATGAGGTTGTTACACAACGCACGTGCCCGATGATTGCTAAACACGTCCCATGTGACATGAAATGCGGTGATTAAACGAAAAAAAGGCGTCGTATGTGCATTCCAATCCAACTTTGTTTTTTTTTATTCCGCGTCTTACCATGATTATTGCCATCTCAAAGCCCCCTGTGCACCATACCGCATGGAACAAACTCAATGTCTACGTGTGTATGTGCACCTTTCTCGCCCCCCACAGCTCGGGTAGGATGCACAGGTGATCTTTGCACATCGTTGCGTTCCCATGCGAGGTAGAAGGGGACGATTCAATGCAGTCGTCGGTCTGGCGCACAGCGTGAGTGTGAAACAACTCAATCCGGATTTGAACGGGAGCTCCATCGGTAAACGCGCACAGACTTACTGTGGTGGGTCGCGAGGGCTGCAGTTTGGAAAGCGCTTTTCAAAGTCACTTAGGAGAGCAATTTCCCTGCTAAAGTGCACAGCCAATCAGTGTTTCTCAGTCACACTGGCTTCCTGAGCCAATCACAACTGTCGTGTGATTGCACAGCCAATCAGGCGCAAGTGTTTTTTTTCAGTCACACTGGCTTTCTGCACAGACAATCACGACTGTTGTTTGATTGCACAACCAATCAGGCGCAAGTGTTTCTCAGTCACACTCGCTTTCTGAGTCGATGACATCTCTCGTACCTCAATATTGACAACGCATCTGGTGTCTCCATTCGGTAACAGTGCATGTGATAGGTTGAACCCCCTCCCCCACATGACCCCATATTATTTGGCTGCTCGCAGTCACCAGTGGGGCCAAAGCATCCTATCTGGTCAAATAAAACTAAAAACGATTCAATGCATCGTAGAACGTGCAGCCATTTGTCACTTCACCCCTGTATGAAGGTTTCCCCACGCCAAGAATGTCACGGAGGTTGTTTGACCATACTTCACCATGCATGCTGGTTAGTACGGGTCTGTGAAGCATATTTGGAGGGGGGGGAGGGCAGGGGCAGGTCATAAATGACTCGCCACTGATGTTAGCCGTGGCCGCGGATCGAACTGAGATGGCCAGTTTTTCGCAGCACAGTGCGTTAACCGCTGCGCCACCGCTCCACCCAGTGACATTATAGCCCACATGAAAGTAGTGATACTCTTCATCAACATAGGCTTCGTAGCCAATATACTCTTGAGTCGTATTGGAGTTTTATACATTTTTCTTTAAATGTAATTAAACATTTCCCTTGAATATATTTATCTATACACACACTCATAAATATATTTGCGGAGGTAATATATTTTATTTACAAGGCTACTCATTTGCCTAAGGTGTCTTATCGTGCTTTGTTAATGTATCCAAATCGGAAATATCATCTCTACCCCAGCAGTAACAGTGGTGGCAACCCAGCCTGGGAGGGCGTTTGCGTGAATAAAGGGCAAAAATAATTCTTGCATTCGCAAAGAAGACCTCGCACAACCAATAAATATCTTAGCAAGGTATCATGAATAAGGCGAAACAAATACATTTTTTACGCTTCTTAAGCTCAGGGCAAAACACAAGATTTTACAACTTCAAACTGCACTGAGGCTCGGCGTGCCATGTCTTTATAATGCCATAAGCAACCTATAAATGGGATATTTTCATGGGTATTTTTGTTATTTGTGTTCCATGATGTATGAATTCGTGAGCATGTTTACTGGATTAACGGGGCGACCGTAACACGAGCTTGGGTGGGAAACCGTTTTGGGTTTACTAATTAAGGTCAAAACTAACACTTTTATAGGACACGTTGATTGCGGCGATAATAGTACTGCCAAAGAAGTTGAATGAAGACGAAAGTTTAGTTTTTATAATTTTTCTGCAGGTTAAACATCCTCCAATGTTCGCCTTTTCGTGTTTTCTCTCCAACAAAACGTATGCGTTCTCCGATACGTCTGCGGGGCCGTTCCCGCATGTTAGTCGGCATTACGCCTGACGCTTCACTCCATGGCGCTTCCCTTCCAGAAAGCCCCATGGATGAAGAACGTGAGCCGCTCGATTAAGTTCCCGAAGAAGTTCCCAGCACGTGGAGCAAAACGTCGGACACCGTGTTGAACAGCGCGCGGTGCAACCGGAAAATACATCGGGAGAGCTTATCCACCGCGACCGCAGAAACCTACGCAGTTAGAATCTTGGGATCGTCCCACTCGGTCCACAGGCTACCACCGCACAGCCATGTGGCTGGCACGTGATTAACTCGCTGTGAACGTCTCCACCATCGAGGTTGGTGGATCGCTTTCAAGATCCCAACGTGTGTGACTCACAATATACTGGGCAATGAGGTGGCCTGCAGGTGGAAATACAGCAAGGAGGGTGCCCGGTCTATTCATATTTTAGAAAGCTATCTCCCAATATATGTGTACGGTTTTCCCCAAGTGGTTCGGTATCCTGCCCAGAGCTGAAATACTCAAAGAGGAATCAACCAAACGTCCCTGTACAGGAGCCTCCTTTAAAATATACTTGAAACTCAAACTCTGTTGGATGCATTTGGGCAATTTTAGAGCAATTGTTGGCAGCAGTCTTCACTGGGAAAAGTTATATATTGTAAAATTATTTAGCGGCCTAAATCTGGAAAAAAAAATCTAATCACTGCTCCCCCTAATGGGCAACTAGAATGCCAACTTCCTATCAAATCACATACACAGGTCGTGTGTCTACGGTAGGATGTGTGCTCTATAGGACCAATCAATGCACATCAATCACACACCTTTTAGCAGTCTCCATTTTCATTGGCTTAGCCAGAACTCGACCACACTGAGGAGTCTACGCCCATCGCTGTGCCAAGTCGCCAGAGAGTCGCCCATGGGTCGGTGCTTCATTTGCAGCCGGAACACGCCACATCCGTCTGGCGTTATTTTGGCTCACGCTGCGTCAAACCTTTACAATCATGTTTACGGGACTCTATGGTACAATAATATAGGATTTCTATGGATAGGCACACTTTGAACTCTAGTTGTAGTGCCGTACGCTGATAATGCCTCCTCTAAGCTGGCCTAGTTGCGTTCTGGAAACTCTCAATTGAAAAATGAAGTCATGTTGATGGTAATTGCATTGCCAGTGATGACCGGCCGAGAATTTCACAGCCTTTGTCGAGACTTTCCGTGTTAAATCCGCGAAGAGCGTTCGCTATTGCAAGAACCTGAAGCTCGTGAAGCCCTCGGCTGGTGGTGGGTGCCGCCCCAGCGACGCTGCCACGCTCAAGGGATTTGTTTCCACTTGGTGACGAGCTCTACCGAGCCGAGCGCCGGGTCCGCCCGGCCGCTCCCACGCCTACCCTCCTACACCTGTCCTGCCCGCATCTACCCTCTCACACCTGCCCTCCCCATGCCTGCCCTCCCACACCTGCCCTCCCACACCTGCCCTCCCACACCTGCCCTCCCACACCTGCCCTCCCACACCTGCCCTCCCACACCTGCCCTCCCACACCTGCCCTCCCACACCTGCCCTCCCACACCTGCCCTCCCCATGCCTGCCCTCCCACACCTGCCCTCCCACACCTGCCCTCCCCACGCCTGCCCTCCCACACCTGCCCTCCCCATGCCTGCCCTCCCACACCTGCCCTCCCACACCTGCCCTCCCCATGCCTGGCCTCCCCACACCTGCCCTCCCACACCTGCCCTCTCATGCCTGCCCTCCCCGCGCCTGCCCTCCCCACACCTGCCCTCCCACACCTGCCCTCTCCACGCCTGCCCCCCTCCCCACGCCTGCCCTATGCCTCGCCGTCCCCCCTTATTGCTTGGCGCTCAGCGGGCCCACGTAGCCGGTGTCCGTGATGTCGTAGCTCACGCGGTCCTTGGCCAGGATCTTGAGCAGCGGGCGCAGCTTGAGCCACCACTCCTCGCGCGGGATGCGGTGCCTGAAGCGATTTGACGGTGGGCCGAGGGGGCGAGGCAAGAGTAAAAGAAGGCAGAGAGGCGCAGCCCTGAAATTGCTTGCTCATGCCACTGCTGATGGATGGGTATCCCCCCTCCACACTGAGCCACATTAGATAAGTTTTGGCTTGCTCTTCCATGCTGGTCAGGCGTTTTGGAAGAGGTGGGTGGGAGTGCCCACACGTTACCCCACCACCACACGAGACCCGTTGATCGGATAACTTGTGTTGTACTCATTGCCCCATTGTTTATAATTTACACTTCCAAAGCACCTTTCACCCGGAGATCACAAGGCGCTTCATAAAATATAGTCGTAACAGACTGTAGAGGCAAGTGCTGTTTGCGAGCACCTATGAAGGCCGGAACGGTACACAGGGGGGGGGTGGGTGGCCAGCACCACGCCCGACCGCCTTTGTCTCCCCAGTGGCGATGTTTACTACACACCGCACCAGGTACTCATTTATGCTGAGTCGACCTAGGGGAGGCCGGGACCGGTTCAGATAATCGTCACTGGTGTTGGCCGTGAGTGGGAATCGAACTCGGGTCGCCGGGTTCATAGCGCAGCGTGCTAACCGCTACACGACCGCTCTCCCACACACACACACACGTAGACACACACACACACAGGCACATGTAGGCTCATGCCAATCAAATTTATCCCCAAAACAAACTGCCATGCCGGGAGATGGAATCGAGCCAGCGATCTCCGGATTTGCGAGACGAGTGTGTGCTGACCTTTGCACCGTGGCAGCAATGCCGAGTGTAATTATACTCGCAAAGAAGGCGATTCCTCGACGGCGAAAACAAAAACAGTCGGCCACTGGCTCGTTCGTCCCAGCATGCCCTGCACGGTACACGGCATCACCACGCCGCGTGCACGATGCACACAGCCTCGCGGCGGTGGCGGCGGGAACTCACGTGAAGTCGGTTTGTTCTTTGAGGTCCGACACGGGCTGGAACTCGAGAGCCTGGCGCCGCAGACCCAGCAGACACGCCGAGTCAGCGCCGGTAGCGAAAACGCGACCTGCCGGGGGTCGAGGAGGGGGGTGGCGAGGAGGGAGATGGGGGTAGTGCAGGGGTGGGCGGGGGGCGGGGGGCAAGGAGGCGAGGTTGTGGTTGTGGAGGGAAGAGAGGCATCGAGGCAGATGTAACCAGGAACATCAGCATCACGCGCCCCCCCCCCACCCTTTCACCATTTTCCAAAAAGTTCATTGTTTTGCATTTTTTAGCACCAATGGCCGCACCGTTTTGTTATTGCAGCACTGCATGCTCCTTGTTGTGATCAGGAGCAAGAAGATAAGCAGTCATGTGTGCACTGTTTCAATTCGACACTCTCTCACTGCGCCCTTAATGCACTTTCCGCGACGGGATAAAAAGTGCTCGTACATTTCCATTCCGCTCGCGGGTAGGATAAGGTTTCTTGGAAGGGCGCACTGTACAGTGGTGCACTTTTGGTCGTCTTATTGATTTTCCAAAACCATTTTTAACGGAATAAATGTCACTTATTCAAACGGATAAATTGAAAGCCCAGTATGTGACATTGCGGTTTAGTCGTGACATTGTCTCGCCGACGATGCCTTTCATTTATCGCGCTGTCATTGCCCAAAATAGTAGCGCACGACCGGAGCCGATGTTCCGATTATTTTTCGGATCGCAGTTAGACTGCGGTAGGCACGGGGGCACTAAGTGGCCACAGCCATAGCGAAAGGCATCCTGGACGTGGTGTGCCGGGTCCGGGCACATTTTTTCCAGGTCACAGCCCAGGCCGAAATTAATCCCTGGTTACTTCCGGTACGTGTTTGTTCAGCATTTTGTGGTTCGATCGTATTCAAGCGCTCAACGAATACAAATATTAATCCTTGATTTAAACACTCTCAAACAAATCCATTAGCGCTATTAAAACAAGACGTATTAGCACTGTTTATCTATGCCTTCGTTTCTCCAATCAAATTGTCAGAAAAAAAAACATCGTCCAATGCCACTGAATAACTATGGTGTAATCGTGTCAACCTGTCTGACTTATCCCTTCTAATATGAATGCTGGGTTCTTTCTTCATGTACAATCTCAGTGAAATTACTTCATAGTGGAATTCTGGTTTCAGCAGCTGTGGGACGTTGACTCCGATTGAGGCCTTGGCTAGGCTTTGGTCACTGCATTCTACCCCTTCAGGAAGATCGCGTTGCCATCGTGGGTCTACAGCCATCGTGGGTCTACAGCAGCGGGTTCTCAGAGTGTGGTATCGCTCCTCCACGTGCTCCACGGGGCTGTGATGCAAGCGCAGGTTGATCCTGACAATAATGACGACGTTTTTGTTTCAGACATTAATTCAGATTTTACTCATGATATTTAAAATGAAAAACAATTAAGTTAAGTAAACTACCCTGATTAAACTACCGTAACCCTAAGATCGAAATGGCACCCCTAAAAACACCCCTCATGGCTGCATTTAAAAAAAAAAAGCTGTAATGTTCCGTTCATTTCAATCATTGAGTATGACCGGTATTTAGAGAGACAAATGAATGCGTTTTGTCACCAGGGGTGGGTTTCCGCGGAAATGTTTTGCATTGGCCGAGGGGCCCACGGGCCCAACAAAGTGTACTAGCCGCCGCTGAGGAGGGCGGTGGCTGTTGTGAGGCTTCACCTTGCTTGTAGCTCTCCTTGAGCTTCTCAGAGAGCCACTGGATGGCCTTGGCTGCCATTTTGGTGCCAAAGTTTCGGTCAAAGGGAGATGGCACCCCACCCTATGCACAAAAAAAACACACTCACTTTTTACACACACAAACACAAACATATATCTACAAAGACAAGGATTCCCCCGTATATACTCAACAGACTGTTGGGGCAAGTGCTGTTAGCCGGAACGGCACACGAGGGGATGGGTGACCGGCACCATGCCCGGCCGCCTTTGTATCCCTAGTGGCGATGTTTACACTCCACACTAGGTACAAATTTGAGGCTGAGTCGACCTAGGTGAGACCCAGAACCGCTTCAGATAATTGTCACTGACGTTGGCCGTGAGCGGGAATCGAACTCGGGTCTCCAGGTTCCTAGCGCAGCGCGCTGACCACTGCACCAGTGCCTTCCCATTGCTTCCATGTATCGTGAACTCGGCAGACGGAGAAATGCATCCAGGTTTGCTCGACAGCGGTAAAGATACCGACCCTATTGTGAACCGATAAAACATACACGCTTACGCGCGCGATTACAACGAGGCGACCGTGCGCCGTAACCCCTGTGGGTGTGAATGGATGCATTTCTAGATTTGAAGCTTTCGTGACTGCTGGGATCCATACTCTTTGGTTCTATTGGGTAAAGTCACGTAGGTGAAAATAAAATAACAAAAAAAATTAACAAAAAATCACGACGTTTCGGCCAAAACACAAGCGGCCTTCATCAGGTGAAGGGACGAGACTGTCAGGAGGACAGCGCTGGAGTGGAAGAAGCCATGCTCAGATCACGACCTTTAAGCTGTGTGAGAAGAAAAACACCAAGCGCCTTGACAAAGGAATTAGCATATAATTTAGCATTGAAATGGCTCATTGAAATAGCTAAGTTAAAGTATACACATCCGCAGAGGTACCCCTTGACAAAGGACTTAGCATAGAATTTAGCATTGAAATAGCTGAGTGATTAGCTAGTAACTGGTCACAGAAATAGCTATGATAAAGTCAGAGCATATACATTCACCGAGGCACCCAGTACGCATCAAATCGGAGAATTTAGCGAAACACAACCACGCTCAGACAGCGATGGACTGTTCCACCCCGAGTGTCTCACTTGCTGCATGTGTCCCAGGACGTTCTTGCGGCAGTCGAACACGCCTTTGCCCTCCTCCGTGTAGAGGTGGTAGACAAAGTCCGTGCTGTAGTTGGTGTTGCAGTGTTCGTTCCTGTGGGTAGGGGAGGCCACAAGCTTGAGGATTTAAATTGACCGACTATCTTTTTTTTTCACGAGGTAAGGCCCTCACTGAGCTGTGTGGCTCTTTTGTGGGAAGCGACCTGGCCACAAATGATAGCTCAACGGAGTGGCTCATCGTGTGGAAATTTATAGCAGGCAAATACTCTGAAACGCATGTTCATTCTAGAAATGGAGAGGGACCCCCCCAAAATTTTAATAAACGAGCAGCTTTTATCTTGCAGCTACTATGTACGCAGGCTGTACGTCCCGGGCTGTCCCACAAGAGCTCAAATTCGGTGGTAGGCATGCCTCCATAGCTCGCTAGTACCATCACCGCATTCATGTCCTCCAGTAAGAGCGGAGAGCGGAGAAGTAGCGCTCGCAACGAGCAGAGAGCGCCGGGCGGCTAAAAACACACCAAGGTGGCACAGTGGGAAGAGCAGCGGGGTGCATCCGCCAGTCCCGTGGCCTCCGGCCAGCGCGGTCTCAAAGTGCACCTAGCCTGGCACAAGCGCCGTGGTGAATGGCCGCCACTTACCTGAGCACCAGACCACGCTGCACCCCCGATTTCATCTTCTCGACCAGACGGATGACGTCTGCCTGCAATGCGGACAACAATTTGACTCCGATGATTCCCAGGTGAGAGTCCGTTGAGGTTCACGTTCTCATATGCATGGGAGGCATGTGCACGCAGTGTCCTAAGAGCTTCGTCATCTTTGTTGTTGTCACAAGGATCCTTATTATTTCTGCCACCCCAGTTTCATCCCGATTGTGCAACCGACCTCTTATCCACACGAGGTCGACTCAGCCTCAAATGAGTACTTGGTGCGACGGGTGAACATCATCACTGGGGAGACAAAGGCGGTCGGGCGTGGTCCTGGCCAACCACCCCTTCGTGTACTGTGTCGGCCTTCATAGGTGCTCGCTAACAACACTTGTCCCTACAGTCTTACAGGCTACACGGGGGATCTTTGTCTTTGCCTTAAAAAGTCTGCTCAGGCGATACGGTGGTGGGGGACGGGGGGGGGGGGTCTTTGTCTTATCCACACGAGGGGGCAGCCACTTTCCCACCTGCCCTGCTGTGCACAGCAACGACGGAGCAGCTCCTCGAGGCATCTGCCGCGTCGGTCACACGGTGACAATCGCTCCGCGCGTTCCGAACCGCAGGAAGCGCATCGTGGCCTCGTGTTCACCCTCGCTTTTCGCGCCCAAACGAGGCCCTCGTAATTTGAGTGGAGTGCTCTTGCCAGCAGCATCTGCCGATCCGGCAGCATTTATTTCACAAGCTCCAACTCCGCTGATTAGTCCCAGAAGGTCAGAGTTCACCTTAAACACATTCTGCTGGACAGCCTCGGTCTGGAAGACCGATAGGCTGAAGGACTTTGTGAAAAAAAAAAATACACGTTTTAAAATGCTCGCGGATGAACGAATTTGGCGTACGGCCGATGCCATTTTTCCTTTCCCTTTTGCGAAAAGAGCCAGCGCCAGCGCGCTCACCTGCAGCTGCGCGATGCCGAAGGGCTCCTCGTAGATGTAGGCGGCGTCGGCGCCGGCCGCCAGCGCCCCCGCCGTGGCCAGGTAGCCGCAGAAGCCGCCCATCGTCTCGATGACGAACACGCGCCGCTTAGTGCCGCTCGCCGACTGCTTGATGTGGTCACACGTCTGCGGAGTGCCCGGCAACGGCCGCGTCGCACCGTGTAGATGGTGGGGGGGAGGGGGGGGGGTTTAAGCCGTGCACTTTTATATGATCTGGACTGAAAACTCAAACTGCTTATGGTAATGATGATAACTGCTCATAGCGATTGGTCAAAATCGAATTGTCTCAATCAAGCTGCCACTGGGGGGGTGGAGGTGGGGGGGTGATCTAAGTTGGCTAGCGCGTGCTCACGTGCATGATGATGTTGAGCGCCGTGTCGGCGCCCAGGCAGAAGTCGGTGCCCGGCACGTTGTTGGAGACCGTGGCCGGCACCACCACCATGGGGATGCACAGCTCGTCGTGCTGCGCCCGCGCCGCCTCCAGCTCCAGCACGCCCAGGTACGCCTAGCGCACGCGGGGGCAACACGGGGAGCGTGGGGAGCGTGAGGTGCACGGGGAGCGCGGGGAGCGTGGGGAGCGTGAGGAGCGTGGGGAGCGTGGGCAACACGGGGGAGCGTGGGGAGCGAGGGGAGTGTGGGGAGCGTGGGGAGTGAGGGGAGTGTGGGGAGCGTGAGGAGCGTGGGGAGAGAGGGGAGTGTGGGGAGCGTGGAGACGTGAGGAGCGTGGGCAACACGGGGGAGCGTGGGAAGCACGGGGAGCGAGGGGAGTGTGGGGAGCAAGGAGAGCACGGGGAGTGTGGGGAGCGTGGGGAGCGAGGGGAGTGTGGGGAGCAAGGAGAGTGAGGGGAGCAAGGAGAGCACGAGGAGCGTGGGGTAACGAGGCGGAGTGGAGGAGGTGGACGTTAGACACGGAGAAGGGGGAGTGTGGAGTCATCACCTGCCACTGATGTTGACCGTTGACAGGAAATCAACTCAAGTCGCTGGGTTCATCGTGCAGTGCGCTAACCACTGGCGACAATAATAAATAAATAAAGGGTCCTACACTTAAACACAGTGGGACCCTGAGTCTCAAGGCCCTTTCACAGGCAGATCCTGCATCGGGGCACTTGGTGGATGCAGAGTGTAAGTACTCGGCTGGCTAGGGAGTGTGGGGGTGGGGGGTTGTCATTGAAGCGACTCCACGTTTTGTTCCGTCGCTTTATCTCTGGTGGGCAGTCCCCGGACGTGTCGCGAAGCGCGGCTCGCTGAAGGGAGTCTTCCTTCTGCTCGCGGCTAATGAGTAGATTCCCAACTGCGCAGCGGGGATAAACTTGCTGACGAAAGACAAAATCTCCCGCTCGCCCGCCCTACAATGTCCGTCTATTCCTCTTGCCACGGCTGTCCTTTAAACGTGTCGCTAGGAAGACGTTCATCTTGTTTTTTTTTATTTTTAAGAAACCAATTTCGCCTCTCTTCAAAGCACTTTGCTGAGAGGTTTCTTTTTCTCTCTCAAGCAATCCATTGTCCCCCTTTGTAAAGGGGGAAACCATCCCTCAAAATATCCTCTGCACCTCATCTAATAACGCGTGGGTGACAGGGCTACTATTACAATCACGGGCATGGTTCACACTCGGGCGAGGAATTGGGGCACCATGATGATCGGTCTTCCGATAATAACAAGCAAAAAAACCGCGATGTTCCCATCACGTATTTCCTTGTCCCAGCTGCCACTGAGACCCTCAGCCGTGCCTTCAATTCATCCTGACTCGACGATTGCCACTCTTTCCACATCCCTCATCACCAAAGTCCAGATGATACTTAAATGCTGCTGCCAGAATTCTCATCCGCGCCCTTAAATGGGACCACATCGCCCCATATACTCGAATCCCTTAGCCAGATTCCAATCCAATCCCGGATCGATACACGAACCGCACTCGCAACCACCATTAAGATCGTCCATGGGCTCGGCCACTGCCTACCTCTCCCCTCTCCTCTAACTCGACACCACTCCCTCAAGCTCTCCACTCTTGCACGCTCTTCACTCCACCACGATCTCCACTCCGCCACGCTCTCCACTCCGCCACGCTCTCCACTCCGCCACACTCTCCACTCTTGCACGCTCTCCACTCCGTCACGCTCTCCACTCCACCACGCTCTCCACTCCAGCACGATCTCCACTCCAGCACGATCTCCACTCCGCCACGCTCTCCACTCCGTCACGCTCTCCACTCCAGCACGATCTCCACTCCAGCACGATCTCCACTCCGCCAAGCTCTCCACTCCGCCACGCTCTCCACTCCGCCACGCTCTCCACTCTTGCACGCTCTCCACTACAGCACGCTCTTCACTCCACCACGCTCTCCACTCCACCACGCTCTCCACTCCGCCACGCTCTCCACTCCGCCACGCTCTTCACTCCAGCACGATCTCCACTCCGCCACGCTCTCCACTCCGCCACGCTCTCCACTCTTGCACGCTCTCCACTCTAGCACGCTCTCCACTCTAGCAGCCGAGCCGTATTATTTAAGCCTGGATAATATTGGTCGCGAAAACCTACGACGTGTTAAACTAACCTTCACCCAGGTCGGAAGTCACTCACTCTCCACTGCTGCCCCTATAGTTTGGAACTTCCCAGAGCAACCCGTGCTGCTTCCTCGCTGCCCCTCTGTTTAATTCAAAGATCCATGCCACTCCTCCACGTGAACTGATTTCATTCTTCGATCTCCGTGTTGGTGGTGGTGGTCATACTTGCAGGCGCGGTCTCCTTGTTCCGCTGCGAACCTTTATCTTGAGATGACAGGGTGCGTCCACGACGCTGGCTACAGCTAAAGATCTGAACATGAATTGAGGGTGTGGAGCTGTGGGGAGGGGAAGGGGAGCAGGGATGGGGAGGGGGGCGGCACCTCGAAGCCTCCGATGACGAGCAGTGCTTGGATGTCGTTCTTCTGAATCTCGGACACCACCTCCTTCAGAATCTTCCCTGGGAGCGTGCTAATAGAGGAAGCACGTGGTCACGAAGATGATGACAAGGATGGCAATGATGATGGTGATAATGTAATGATGGTGATAATGATGATGGTTACAACAATATTGATGATGATGACTGAAGATAACAAAGATAACTGATCACGACAAGGACAGGCATGACGACAATGACGACTGATGACGACAATGATCGTAATGACGATGGTGACGATGGTGACGAGGGTTTCGGACTGCGCCACCAGCACACATTGACTGAACCTTGTAAACGGTGTAACGGGGCATTGCAAAGTTCACAAACGACGGCACAGTTTTGGGAATCCGGGTGATGCCCATCCCCAGTTGGTATCACCCCCGATTGTTTGCCCAGCAGAAGCCTCACCGAGTCTCAAAGATGTTTATCACGAGGGCCGTGCCAAATGTTCGCGGTAGGGGGCGATGTTGAAATGTTTGGCCAATCGTCATTGCATTGCGTGTGTGTGTTTACGTTGAACTTCTTTTGCACCGTACGTAGCCGACCGTGGTAATCAAAAGTGCGGGGGGGGGGGGGGACTACAAACTAAGCACAAAAAGCAGTTCTGAAAAAAATAGTTCTCAATCGAGATTTACAAGTGTGTAGCTCCACTGGCTTCCGAATATCGAAGAGCATTCCAGACAGCCACAGAAGAGCATTCCAGACAGCCACAGAAGAGCATTCCAGACAGCTACAGAAGAGCATTCCAGACAGCCACAGAAGAGCATTCCAGACAGCCACAGAAGAGCATTCCAGACAGCCACAGAAGAGCATTCCAGACAGCCACAGAAGAGCATTCCAGACAGCCACAGAAGAGCATTCCAGACAGCCACAGAAGAGCATTCCAGACAGCCACAGAAGAGCATTCCAGACAGCTACAGAAGAGCATTCCAGACAGCCACAGAAGAGCATTCCAGACAGCCACAGAAGAGCATTCCAGACAGCCACAGAAGAGCATTCCAGACAGCCACAGAAGAGCATCTGAAAGCGCGCTAAGCAGTGACCATCTTTGTTCGATGGTTAGCTAAAAGCCACTGCGAGGATGCCCACCGGAGTTTGCGTGATGATGGTTCATGCTCCTTGACGAGTAATACCACCATTTACGTCTCCCCCCTTTTAGGTAATTTCCCAAATACATCGTCACTTTATTATTGCCGCTACCTGATTTGCGTCGCCTCAACCCCGCACTTTTGTCGCTGACACAATCACCCCTCCTTTCTTGTATTCGTCGCTTGTCAGCCTTCGTCTCCACCTACCCCGCAAACCGCTTCGATTGACGTCGTTCCGATATCCGTCGTCGCACCTTTCAGGAACGTATCACCCCCGACGTAAGCCGGGCTACTACTGTGTATATTTTTGTCTAGCTACGAGGAAACCGCAGAGCCCTGAAGAAACCCATGCAAAGCAAGGAGAGAACATGCAAATTCTGCGATGTACCAGAGATGGGAATTCCACATTCTCATGGTCGGGGCAAGCCTTTCTCTAGGGCAGGGGTCACCAAACTTTTTTCACAGTGGGCCGGATAACTGAAAGAATGACGAGCGCGGGCCGCATAATAAATAAATATTTCTGGAGCGTCGGACCTGTGTTGACAGCTGGAAAATCTGGGGGCAGGAAAGATGCGTGTTTGTGTGTGTTGCCATGGAAACCATGGTAACGTCAGAGCGTAGGCGGAGCTACCACGAGCCGGGGAAGTACTTGGGATGGCGCGAAATAAGCAAACATTACAATAAACAAGAAAAACTAGATACAATAATTTAAAATTTAAAATAGTAAATTTAAGGAACATAGCAGTCAGGAGGTCTCCGCACGCATGAAGATCTCCTAGTATTCTAAACATATTTAAATTGTATCACGTCTCGTGTTCCATACGTTTTATCAACCAAATTCAAGTATCGTCGGCGGGCCTGATGGACTGACGTTGCGGGCCGGATCCGGCCCGCGGGCCATAGTTTGGTGACCCCTGCTCTAGGGTGACCTTCATCACCCCCTGCTAAATGACCAGTTCGATGTCATGATTTGACCGTCATCTCTGTTGTTAACTGGACTCTGTGGACGTGCTGGCCGTCTGAGACCAGATCCCCACAATTAGAAACAAAAAATTCCCATTGCTGGTCATTACCGTTTGGTTCCCAGGATCGATCCCCCCTGCCCGGTCCAGCCGCCCACGGAATCCCACGTCATCTCCTGGACCTGAGAGAGGAGGGAGCGGGCGAGACATGGTTTGCTCATTCTACTGCGTGGGTTTTTCACGGTTGTGCTGTATTAGCTCTCTATTGCGTTGTCGGATTGCACACGGTGTCAAATGTTTTTACTCCACGTGGCTGGGAGCTCCTCCGGGAACTTCAGCACGTGGAGTGGAAACTTCGGACATCGCGTCGAACAGGACGCCATCCAACCCGAAAACCCATCGGAGAACTGTTATAAATTCATCTCCAGAACTGACAGGTCCACTCACTCCATGGCAGACCCCCCTGTGGGGCTCAATACTATTTTGCAGGTGGGTCTTGGCTTTACAAGTTGGGTCACTGCAGGAATCCATACTCTTTGGTTCTTTTGGTAAAGTCACGTAGGTAGAAAAAATAATCGATCACGACGTTTCGATTACAACTCAAGCAATCGTCATCAGGCAGAAGAAAGATGACGATTGCATGCGTTGCGGTCGAAACTGTCGTGATCTATATTTTTTTCTACTTGCGCGACTTTACCGAAAGAACCAAAGAGTATGGGCCAAGATTCTTTCAGATGTCCTTTTTTTCTGTTGTGGAAGAGAGAGGCCAGGTAAAAAAAAAACAAAGCCACCGCCGCATTGTCCAGCAGGTGGATGTCTTGTCTACATCGAGGCTTTTGTTGGAGCCACATTTCGATTCAGGAATCAAAGTGGACCGGCCGACCTGGTGGATAACGGTCCCTTTGCTGCCAGCAGTCTCAGACGCTGCGTGAAGCCACACTGCTGTCAGGTCAAGACGCAGCTCAAGAAACGCTTTTTAAAAATGTGTAATGGAATTATGAGTGACTCGCGATAGGAGGGGCAGAGTCATGAATCATGTTGGCATTCCAAGGTCGAATATCTGGGGAGGACAGGCGAAAAATGAATTCTGCTCCCCAAGTATCACGGCGTTCCCACATGCTCACGTGATGCAGTTGGCTTTGCCTTGACTTCTATTTGCTTAATTGCTGTGTGTTATTATTGTTTTGCTTTTGTGATTTTGGTGACCCGGATCACTCTTGCAATAGAGAGGCTCTCCTCTCCCGGTCTCTTAAGTTATCACCTTGTTCAACAAAATGAACTTGAAATTAAACTTGCCTTGGCTGTCATAGTCTCAACCAAGTCACTTATAGTCTCTGATAAATAAATGAAAATCTACACGCCTGCTTTAACAGAGTTGGGTAATCCTCTAGAGTTGTCTTTTAAAACTTAGATCAGAGTGAAACAAATGACTAAGTTACAAACTCTATACGAGTGATTTTATCGTTTTGGGGGATTTGTTTGGCTGACTGTGATGTGTTGCACTGATTGGGCCAGTGAGGTCACATCCTCGCGAAAATGGTCAAATTATTTCAAGGCGACGAGAAATTAAATAGAAAGGATGTAACCGATTTGAAGACATATTCCTCATTAGACAAACAAATACAAACTGAATGTGAAGAAAAATCACGGTAGATTCTGTGCCCAAGTATCAATTGCTTTTGTCGGTAACCAAAATAAAACGAAAAATATTTTTCTCGATTCGAGCATAACTCAGCAAGCAATTAAGCAGGACCCCTGGTGTTCGCCAGGACCAGCTCTGCTCGTTCTACCGGATTTCAGCAGAGTTACCTGCAGGCTGCAAGGTGGCGATGAGGAGGGAGGGAGAGAGAGAGAGAGGGTGAGTCACTGTATTTTTTCAACGTTTTGAAAATTGACAATTTGGACGATATCACCAGCATCATTGCCGCCACATTGCCATCAACCCCCCCCACCCACCCCGCTCCGTTCGTAAGGCGTGCCAAACTGAACGTGACTTAAATATTCTGTACTGAACTTAACGTTAAAATACAGCAGCGAGAAGTCCGTGGAATGAATAATGCAGTATTGTTAATAGGCTATGCACCACAGAAACTTGGGTACATAGTAAGTGGCTGCAGCACGCGGGGGGAACGATCGTGACATCTGATTCTGAATTAGGAATGGCCATGAAAATACGAGATTAATTCGAACTGTTTTACTCTTTCAGAATAGTCCTGCTTGGGATGTTAGCCAAAATTATAATTTTTTTGGAATAATGAACGTTATTTACGAGCGTAGAAGTGCAAAACTTTTTTTTTTAAATAAGTTCACTTATGCGACCCGGGTCGCCCTTGCAAAAGAGGCACCGTTGTTTAATGGGCCTCAATGGGTTCATTTCATATCCTTGTTTCACAGAAAGCACACAACTACCACGCTATTGAAGTTACGTGTATTCATGCCAGAACTGATTCCCTTAACTTTGAGTGTGGTAACCTCTATTAATTATACAGGTTGTCTTTACAACAAACCTAATGTAAAATGAAATGCCAAAGGCAGAATGAATTATTTATTCAGGTGCGCATGGCAATACGTTCAATACTCGAGGTGGGCCCTACCTGTCACGTGTCCTTCACGTGACCTTCAGCAATAATGTCGTCGTCAAGGTGAAATGGACATCGTCGGTTCGCATCTAGAATTACTGACGACGGTGATGGATTCATTTGAGCCGAAAGCACGTGTTCTTTTTGGCCAGACTTTAGAAACGAAACGTATTTTGGTCAAAACATTTGTGCTTACGTTAATACATTCAGCGATCGGCATTCACGCATTCCATTCCTCCCTCTGTGTTCAGCAGCGCGTTTGACGATCCATCTCAAACGTATGTGCCGTGTGCATTTGTGTTTGTGCGAGTGGACAAAGTCTGTGTCGTTGGTAATGATCCTGTCAGGGCCATTGAAACAGGGCAGGCAGGTGCGAGCTGTGAGCTCTTCAATATCAGCAAGTGTTTGTCAATTAAGACAGACAGTGACTTTAGCCCGCGACGGGGGGAGCACACTGTGAATAGGCGGACGTGATGTGACACGCTTAGCGGCAGTCTAATAATGATCGCAATTACAATAACGATGATACCAAAAAAATGATTATCTGTTACACCATTGGCGAGTGGGGTGCGGAGAAGCTGCACACACGGCGGTCAGCGCACGGCGATGCGCATCGTTTCGTCCCGTGTCGGTCGGCGTGACGTCCGATGTTTCGAAAAACTTAGGAACGCTAGGAAGAAGCTCGCCGAGCGGAACATCGGGACGTCGCCACCGAACGGCTGGAGCCACGGCGTAGCCCGCCATGGTCGGTGCGACGGCCCGCGTACCTCTCCGACGGCCCGCGTCCCTCTCCGACGGCCCGCGTACCTGCCCGCTGGCCAGGCCCTGGAAGCCGTCGTTGACGGTGAGGACGCGTAGGCCGCACGTCATGCCGACGCGCACCGCCGAGCGCACCGCAGCGTTCACCCCGGCAGCCGGCGCTCCGACACTCAGCACCGCCACCGTGAAGGCCGTCTGCGCGACACACGACCACACGCCGCTCACGGCCCCCGGTGCGTGCATGCGTGCGTGCATGCGTGCATGCGTGCGTGCATGCGTGCGTGCATGTGTGCGTGCGCGGTTATTGATGAGACGGATTATTGCGCCAGGAGTAGCGGGGTGGCGCATCGCTGGAATAATGCCTCCGTCGTATTCGTGAATCGGGCATTGAGTCGTTGCTATACGTTCCGTGGTTCTGCTCTGGGTGGTGACCACAGTCTCTCTGCGCGCTGACGGTGAGAGTTTTTAATTTTCCGTCTGTGCATCGCCATCGAGTATCCGCGGTTCAAGGCGTGACCCGTAAACTCCGTGACATCAATGCCATATCGCTGGTGTGCGCTCGCTGTTACTTTACGACAGCTTTAGGCCGCGGTTGGTGGATCACACACAGATGAAACCATCATGCGCGTGAGAGACACGCACATGCCAGGTAATGAGGTGGTGTCTGTGAGGAAGGAGTACAGCAAGTAGGTTCCTGATAGGCTGTCGGTGCAGGGTTTGACTGATCCCTTACCCTTGCGTGCGGGCCTTTTGACCGGGGCCAAAATTGCATTGGTGATGACTCAAACGTGATGGACACTGAAACCCCAAGTGAATACTATTGCGTCAGCTTTGCTGAGTTTCGGGATTCCCATCGGCTCCATCAAGCCACACCTGCAGTGACGAACCACATCGTGCCCCGCTCTTTAATATCAGCAAGGGGCTTTTTTTGCATCTCTCAAAACTGGAGGCTTCCCCTTGACCTGATGATACATCATCCATGGGTTGGCGTTGGACAACTGTCTCTCTTGCCTTGTGTTGACTCGTTTGTGATGTGTGTATGGTTGTGTCTGTCTCAGTTGTACCGTTTGTCTCATTCACACCACGGGTCTCAATATGCACTCCCTCATTTGTGTCCTGCTTGTGCTGTCTATTCTACACTTTGTCTCAGTGGTACCGTCTTATTTCTCATGTCTGTTTCACTGGAGTGTCCGTCGCGTTTCTACCGTCTCGTTTGCGGTGTCTGTCTGAGTTTTACCGTCTCGTTTGTGGTATCTGTCTCACTTGAACTGTCTCATTTGTCGTGTCTATCTCATTTGTCCTCTCAAAACTGAGTCTGCAGACTCGCAGAGGTCATTTGCTGATACCGTACGCAATTCTATTTGTAAGCCAAGTCCTTCAAATGAGACCCGTATATTTTAGATATATACTTGGCAACTCCATCTGCAGCGCGGTGTAATTTCCGTTGATGCTTCTGCGTTCAGCTACGGCGGGGTTTTTTTTTTGCTTTGTTTACGACCGAACCTCGTGGCGCATCTCGCCGCGACCGTCTCAGTGCGTGACGGGCGACGGCTCGGATTCTGGCACCGCCGCTGTCGCTGTACTCTCGCCAAGGGCATTCTGACCCCCACCCCGCACGAGGTTGATGGACGCCTTCAAACGAACGGGTTCGGCACTCACCTTGGCTTTGCTGACCGGGGCCTTGTTGTTCGCGAATAGGTTGTACGAGTTGAGGTTGTTTTGGAAACTCCTTTCGGGGGGTTACAAAAGAAAGAACAGGAAAAAAGAACATAAGGATCACCGAGAGAGACAAACAAAGACACAAATCAAATTCGGGCACGGCGACAGGATGTCCTCAAATCTACGTGGAGCAATATCTGGCAGGATGCATGTATTGGGTCAAGTTTACTGTGTTAATGTGTTTACGCGCACACAGGCACGCACATGAGTGTTACGTTTGCACATCTATTATTATTTCAGTATTATTATTAGAGATATATTGACAAAGAGTTCAGTGGGCCATGTTGCAGGTCACCGTCGCGAGAAGGAATGGTGATGGCAGGTAAGGGAGGGGAATGTGCCAGAGAGCATGTCCCACTACGGAGATGGAGCGATGAAGTCAGCTCAGGCGTGGAGTCGTGTGCAGGATGGATCCGTTGCATTGCAGGACCATGAGAGATAGCGACGGCTCTGGGAGGCGTTTATCCAGTGCAGTGGATTGATCACGGCTGACGATATATGTATAACTTCTCTCGCACTGTGCTTAGCCAACCGTGCTAATCGGAGGTGCGGTTGCATGTGCAATGATCATTACAGGCAGCTAGGGTTGCATGTGCAATAATCACTGCACATGCCACCCTGGCTCTCTGCACTACTGAGGCACCTGCTCTGTTCACATCCAAGCCTATAATACCTCCCTCTTCCCCTGCACCTGTGGTGAATAGTTTTTTAATGATTACCTGTCTCTTTATCAAGAGCTTTCATTCCAACTCTGTCCCGAAGCCTCTTTCTACCATCTTCCTCTCCCTCTTAAAGTAACCTTTAAACACCACTTTCCCTTAATCTCAAGATGCAAACGTCCGACAACCTTTGCATCGCGTAATTTTTTATTGTTAAATAAGACGTATGTCATGTCTTGAAAAGCTGTGATTTGTTCACATTTCCCCCCACGATTTCTCTTATTGGTGCATTTTTAATATTAACGTTCATATCTTTGTTTAACACGTAGACTTTGGCGACCAATATTATTCATAATAAAGGTTTTTGGGTTAGATCGCGTAAGGATAAATGTGTCACAACCCTCCACCACCCGACACAGCCAATTAGTAAGGGGTTTGTCACGTAAACAAAAGGTGCCAATTAGTGACTACTTCAGCCCACCGGTGTGTTGGAGAGTAAATCCACAACATTAACGATTTAAGTACGACGTTTCGCTGGTAATTACATCCAGCATCATCGGGCGATTTGCCAAAATAGTGAAGCAATATACCTGCTTCCGGTGTTAAATAGACATCTTTGTCAATACACTGCTGGATGAAGGCCTTCCTTACAGCATTACGATCGTGGCGTTGTTTTGACCATGCTTCACCGTGCCGGTTCAGTACGGGGGTTAGTGAAAGGATGATTGGGGTGACCAGGATCGATTCGGATATCACTCACCCCACTTACGGTCGCTGTCGCTGGGAATTTTATTCAGGCCAACAGGTTCAGAGCGCAGTGACACTACTCCCTTCGCTAACACTTCACTCACTCGCAATGCAAATGTATGGTATATATATACTATAAATCTGCCTTACATCTTGCCTGAACAGTTTTCTGAAGTTATTTATGTTTTACTGAGTGTAGTGACAAATGTGAGCTTGAAATCCGGCCACTCGTCAATGGGGTTGGTGGACCGCATAAGGATGAGAGTCTGGAATCGCTAAGTGCTACAGAAAGAGCCTCGGTGTGTGGATAAACACCGACGTTCTATGCTATGATGTGCCACTGGGATGCAGTACAACAAGTAGGCTGCTGACATGTCTGTACCGAGTTCGTGTCCTCCGATTAGCACGGTCGGCTACGTTACGGTGCAGAAGAAGTTCAACAGACATCATGGAAAAAGCACGAGAACAAGCATGAGCAGGACCCTCCTGAGACACGATGCCATGATACCAGTTGACGTACAAGGCATCAATCATTGAGTTAGCCATCCCGGCTGCGTGTGGCCACCCTCCCACATCCATTAGAAGGGGAGGTTATCGAGTTAAACATTGCTGAGCAAGCCCACGGATTTGTGCACGCATTTTTTTGTATTCTAGTTGATTCATTGACATGTGTACAGCGTCGTTTTCTGATGTAGTTATATATTCTATGGGTGGTTATTTTTGAGCACGCACATTTGAATGACAATGTGCGGGGGCAGATACAGTAATGGTCTAATAACAATGACATTCATACCACATCACTGTTTATAATGTGGAACGTGGAAGTGATGGGCTAGCCCGTGGCACAATGGTTCGTACGCTGTGCTCTAAACCCATTGACCTGAGTTTAATTCCTGGCCCTTGCTAACGTCGGTGGCGAGTTATATCCGAATCCAACTTCACCGACCTGCATTGTACGAAGATAATTCAATACAACCATGATAAGTGTCTCACTCGCAATGTCAGCTTAACAATACTTCCAAGGGGCCTCACCACGTCGCTGAAGCGAGGCTCCTTTGGCGGAGCGGGATTGGGTCTGGCATCATTCGCTGTTGATGTTAGCCATGGCTGGGATGTAACTCTGGTCCCCGGGTTCAAAGCAAAGTGCGCTAACCACTGCACCGCTGCTCCGCCCCAAGCAACGATCGTGTATAACCCCGACACTTGTATTTATACAGTTCGAGCGTTTTAAAAACATGAAACGGTCATGCCGATGATGAAATGTACGTGTCAATGAACGAGGTTGGAGTCTTACTTTCCACGGAGTCTCACGGCGTCCTCAAATCGCCCCTCGTCCATCGCCTTCTGCACTGCCTGGGTCTGCGCGCACGGTGCACAGCGTTCAATGCAGCAGAGCGTGAGTGGATCGCTCGCACACGGCCACAAATACACACACATACACACACCCGTCGCCAGGGCTCAGTGTCTCGCTGAATACTCTCCAGGTCGCTGGTGGATTGGAGTAGGCGGCACGCGGCGGCTAGCAGTCGCGGTTGTAACTCGAGGTATACTGGATGCGGTGTGCCGGGTGTGGAAATACGTGCTGGGTTGCTGACCAGGACAGATGGAAGTGATTCGTAATAAAGGTTTCAGTATAAATGTGTCGTAACCCTCCACCACCCGACACAGCCAATGAGTAAGGGAATTGTCACGTAAACAAAACGCCAATTAGTTACTACTTCAGCCCACCGGTGTGTCGGAGGGTAAATCCACAACATTTACAATTTGGATTTACTCCAACGGGCGTTAACCATGACACTGCGACGGTGGTGGCAACGGTTTGCGGAGACCTTCATGCAGCAGTGGATAGATGATGGCCGCTGAGGACGGCGAATCCCGTTGCCCGTCTCACCTGCTGCACGCACTGCATGAGGGAGTTGCGCACGATCTGGTTCCCGGTGAGCGCGACCACGTACGCCGGAGTCTCCGGCGTGGCCTCCAGCAAGGCCAGCACGGCCTCGAATCCCATGCGGCTCGCCTGCAGCACAATGAGTGCAACCCCACGTGGTTTGTTGTTGTTGTCTTACAGCGGTATCTAAACCTCCCCCCCCCCCCCCCGACCGCATCACTCAATGAGCGCGCACAGCCGGCAAGAGGACCGTCGCACCGCATCAGCCGCCCTTGCCGCCACACGCCGGCGTCTCGGCTGATTTGTTTGATCCACGCATCACGGGGGCGGCACCGTTCCTCGTCGAGCTCAACGATTCTCCATTGCCCCATTCCCTTTCCTCTTCCCTGTCCTCGACGCCCCTCCACTCTGTCCCGTCCCTCCCCTGTCCTGTCGCGACCCCCACGTGGCCCTCTGTTGCGGTCGTCATCAGGAATGACGAACGCTTGCGTCGCGATCGAAACGTCGTAGTTTTTGTCATTTTTTGTTATTTTTTTTGAACCTACGTGACTTTACCGAAAGACCCAAAGAATATCTAAATCACTTGTTTTTGCGACCGCTTTGAAACCGTGTGAAGCGCCGTGAACTGAGGAGCTCTATAAATAAATATAAAATGAGATAACCAACAGCGGTAATTTTAGCAGCTACTCACAATCCGAGCGTATTCCTCAAATAATACCGTGTGTGTGTGTGTGTGGCCTCAAAAATAGATTTTTTAAAGATATATAATCGGTGGCACCCGATGCACACGGTCGACGCACCAGGATGCGGTCGAAGGCGGAGGGTGTCCCTCCGCGCTGCACGTGCCCCAGCACCGTGACTCGGGTGTCGAAGCCCAGGCGCTTGACGATGAGCTGCGCCGACGGGGCACAGGGGGAAGGCGACAGACCGCCCGGCGAGAGCTCGCTCGCAAATCCGCGGGGATGGGGGGGGGGGATTTGCACACGCTGCGCCTAGCAGATTTAACTTTCCTATTGATTCCTGCCGCACTTGTTATATTCGAGAAGCTCCAAGGGGCCTCGTCACTTTCTACCTTTTTGGCGTTGCATATCCCACTCATCCGCCCAGTCGCGCAACTTTTGACCCTGCTCGACGCAAAGAATGTCTGAACTCTTACCTGCCGCACCGTCAGACCTGTATATTCTACGTGCTCTGCATCGCAAGCCTACGCTCTTAACGGAGGTCACTACTTCTCTGCTGCCCTCGGTGTGTCTGCAACTACATCATCGTGGCCTTTTCAAACTGAAAGTTCTCCCCACGGAGGTGGCCGGGCAGCCCCTGGGGGTCAAAGCACTGGGCCGATGCCGATGAGCTTCTGGGTTTCAGCCACATGCCACTGAGCCGGGTCTCTCTCGCCAATTGTCTCCCGGGTCGCCGGTAGACTGGACGAGGCGGCCCGTGATCAGCAGCCACGGCCTGGACGAGGCGTAATACAGGATGCGGCGTGCCGAGTGCGGAGATATTTTCCACGTGTCATGACCCAGTTAGGTAGGCCCCGGCTGTAAATAATGCCCGGGTACAGGTGAGCGTGCGAGGAGTTCCAGTCGATGAGGAGCTGGGGGGAGGGGGGGGGGTCTAGGGTGGGGTGGGGGGGGGGGTGTGGTGGGGGGGTGTGGCGGGTGGCGCACGTTTTTGAGAAGCTCCGACGTGATGGGCTGGTTGTGCGCGTCGATGGCCCCCTCGGCGACGATGATCATGTTTAGCCTCTTCCTGTGCACCCGCGTCTGAAATGACATTGCCGCAGTTGGGGTACACGGGTTGCCACGCGGGCGCTGGTCCTCCCAGCGCCGTCCTCTTGTCGGGGCAGCCGCTGTCCCCGCGAAATCGGTAAGTCATCCCGGGATGTTAAAGTTCCCGGTCGTTGTCAGTAATGACGGTAACAATAATGCACCGGTCGGGACAACGCGCGCGCGTGTGGCTTCTCCCCTCATCTGGTACGTGTGAATTATTCTTCGTACCCATGAGATGTGACCCTGTTTGTTGCGCGCCGTAGGTGGCAAGCCTCGGCGTGTGACTGCAGTTCGTTAATGCGGCCAATGCGGTTAATGGAACAAGTGCGGGGACCCATTGGTTAACTTTCGTTCCACTGCTCGTAGTTGTTAGCGGAACCGGTGTGGAGAGCCGCACGTTTTTGCCACCGTGATGTGTTCATTTGCGTCACTGGACCGCCCTTTGTCAATCCACCGCTGGACGAAGGCTGCCCCGCGCCGTGCTCATCACGGGGATTGTTTGACCTCAACTTCACCGCGCTGGTCAGTAAGGGGTTGGTGAAGGTGGGGGGGGGGGAGAAACTCGGGACCGGTTCAGATATTATTCGTCTACTGGTGTAAACCGTGGCTACGAACGGAACTCAGAAGGTCACCGGGGTTCATAACGCAGTGGGCCATTCACCGTGCCGCCGCTCCGTAAGAATGACGGTGGACTTACAAAGGGTTGCAAACGATGGTCTTGTTACTTTTCCATTCGTGCACATTAGAATAATGAATAACAATTCTCACTATCAGTCCCAATAGATATCATCAACGGGCTGAGATCATGGCACAAGGCAGCTTCGTCCCAGCGGTAAGCCACGTGACCACTGGCTAAAAAAAACCGCTACACTAACACGCTGCGAAAATGCCTCATTCGACGGCTCACGCTGCCACTTTATTATTTTGAATGTTTCAAGTTTACGTTTTTTGCAGCTCCCCCAATGTGCGCAGTTTTTTCGATTCGGCTGCAATTCTGAATACAGCGTCGCGAAAGTACGAGGGAGTTATTAAGAGTCATTGATTGCGAACTCGGTCGCATTGCGCGCGAGTGGAAAATTCCGCTGGTGGGGACTTTTTTTTTCTTTTTCCCACTGGCCCGCAAATAATCCGGCACTTACGGACGATAATGCATTGTGTATCGCGCTCGCGTGCAATACGTCCGATGCCCTTGCCTATCAACGTGTGCCTAAGTGCTTCCCTAATGGCCCCCCCTTTATATACCGTTTGTAATCCCGCGATCAAGTGCTCGACGTGGCCGTGAGCCAAAGTGTTTTCGTTAATGCGCTTTCGCCTCGGAACAATAAAAAACACGGTAACTTTGCACTTGCCAGCAAGAATTTGCTCTATGTGACCACATTAGATCTGTGGTATTTGCTTGTAATGGCACTGACATTTGAAGTCCGACCGAATATTTTAACAAGAAATAATGGCAATAATTTACCCAGGAGAAGCTTCACTTGGACTACCTTCTGTAAAATAGTCTTGGGCCTATTTTACAGAAGTTAGTCCTGCTACTTTTTTGGATGTTCGGTCAATTTTATTGGGGAAAGTTCGGCTTCATGTGCAAGGAAACTGGAGTACCCGGAAAAAAACCCCACCCCACGTAGGAGAGGTTGACACGAAGCAATTACATCTCCTGGCCACCCGACACCTACAATACCTGGCAAGCCCTGATTGCCACCCATCCACGTACAAACCAGGCTCAAATCTACTTAGATTTCCGAGATCTGACGAGATCAGCTGCATTTAGCGTGAATGTATCACAAGCCTAGCGATAGCCAAATGAGTCAAACGTGGTTTCCCGTTTATTTGAGCAGTGGGTGGCGCTCTGTTCTTTACAGCCTTAAGCCAGACTCGGAATTGACATTTTTTTTCAAATGTGGGGGCGAGCCTATCCATAGGACAATCTCCGTTACCATTTCCACAAAGCGGGGCCTCTTTTAATGGCCCCATCAGGATGATTGTCTGGGTCCACCCCCTCAACCACCAACCGAGAATTGAACTCACGACCTTGCGAATGCATTGCACGTGCTCGACCGCGTCCAGATTCAGCGGTAATAGATGACCTTTTAACGCGGTGTGATCGCGATGACCCCATGGGTTTAATGCTCAACACCACCGATGCCCAATGGCGCAGTGTGGGATAGCCACAAGGGGAGCGCTTGCTATGCAGGGATCTTTTCACTTGCAGTTGGAAAATTACAAAGCGTGCAAGATTAATTGCTTCATTAATACCGTATCCCCTCGTTATTCGCGATATGCTATGCCAACTGCTTAGACACCATCGGACCAATGACAATCAAGGCACTTGCCACAAAGGTCATAGTTTGAGAACGCATCATAGGGTCATCCCCACCCATCCCCCCTCCTTCGCTTGCACGACACAATGTTAAACAAACTCCGATAAAATGTTAAACGCAAAACAAAACGAGCAACTATGATTAGGATCATCATCGCACTGTTCTCTGGTGGTGGTGGGGGAGAGAGGGAGGGAGGGAGGAAGACATGCCTCATGCAGGCCGAATCGTATCCCAGGGTCGCCCAGGGCCAGGTTCAAGTGGTCTGCTGCTGGGGTTAGCCCCCAAAACCACCAAATAACACAATGGCCAACCCCACCTGAATGTATCCTTTGAGGTGAATCACTGCTATGGTGCCCCACCCCCACACAAGGGCTCGGCTGCTCCCCCCACCCCACCACACCCCCCGCCGCCTATCCCAGAGAGGCTGGAACCAGGCCTGGCGAACTTCCCTGCTGCTTGTAGGTGGAGGGGCTTGACTGACAGCTGCGGTCTTAATGCCAGAGGCAGAGGGTGTAAAGTGTCGCGGCTGGGGTCATTTGAGGCAGCGCGCCGACTCTTACGGAGGACTGACGCCGGCTACAGCTCGTGAATTTAAATCGCCCACGGACGAGCATCACGCATCATCGTCGATCGGCCATGATCACTAGCGGTACCGCGACGTGACGATTCGCATCGCGCCTCGCCTGCGCACGAGCGGATTTCACCGCTATGGTGCCACTCGGTCGCGAGTCTCGACCGCCAGGCATCATCTCCACGAGCCGTGATGTGCCATGCTCCAGCACGGCACCTCATGGACCGGTTCGGATAACCGTCACCGGTGTTGGCCGTGAGTGGGAATCAAAACTCTGCTCGTCGGATTTGGAACGCGGTGCGCTAGCCACTGCGCGACCGCTCCCCGCATACAGTACATGCATGAACACATGCATGTACTGTTTGTACACGTGCATGCATGTATATACGCATGCATGTATGTGTGTACACGTGTATGTACACATGTATGTACATACGTACATGCATGTACACATGTATATACGTACATACATGCATGTACACATGTAGTTACGTATGTACACATGTACGTATGCATGTACACTTCCATGTACACATATATGTGCATTTGTATGCACACATGGGCGCTGCTCTTACTGCGCTGAGTTTGTCGCACATGCGGTCCTCCCAGCCGTCCTGCGGGGGGCTCTCGGGGATGAAGACCCAGTCCGCACCGCATGTCAGAGCGCTCACCAGGGCCAGGTAGCTGCGGACCGCACACCCAGAGTGGACACACTACAGCAGAGGTCGTCTCACTCACACACACAGTGCAGTTCATCATTATGAAACGTGCTCGTGGATTTTTATTTTTAATTTACTCCGCATGTTTACACTGGAAAGCCTTACCAAGTCTCAGGATCCTTTTTGTGGAGGGAATGGGTGTGGAGGGAGTGTCCTGGTAGGTTTTGGCAGTAGGGAGCTCGATTGCCGATTCCAAATTCAATAAATAGCGATGGAATTTTTTTAATTTGGCAAATTTGGACCATGACGCTGGTAAGCAATGGCCTGCTATTATATTGTTGTATTGGTGGTTGTGACGTTCTTACCTGCCCCTACTGGACATCTGTGAAAAAGAGCTTCATAGCTCATCGGATTCTTCCAGTATAAATAAATAACTTGATAATAAAACAAGTTCTGATGCTTGCGAATGATGTCACGGGAATGCTCACTGTGACGCGACGATGCAGATAACCGATAACTGCAAATGATAACTGAATCAGTCCTGGTCCTGGTTGCATCAACCCGCAATGACCAGTGTGGTGAAGTATGGTCAAACAACGACCAACGTGGCATGCGCAAGCCTTCATCCAGTAGTGGATTGATAAAGGGGCTGAACTTTTTTTGCGTGTTAAACATTGAAGGGGTTTTTTTTCAAGGGAGTAAAAATAAGTACATTGTTCAATCATCACAAGAAAAATTATCTCCAGAAACTGAAACTCAATCGCATGAAAGCAGGATGGATAAAATTAATTTTTAAAAAATACAGAGTAAACGCACAATGATGAAAATCGTAATCAGCAGCAACAGTGCAAAATTAACGATGAAATCAAACATCGAAATTTCTCTCTGGGATAATCACTGCCACATTGCTCGTTTGAGACTCTGAGACTGGCACTAGATACAAGAGTGATAATGTGTCACCGTCTTACCAATCCACATTTTCCTTTCCTGCCAGTCCCCATGAGTTTCTCATCATTTACATAAAGCGAGCGGATTAATTTAGAGAACATAAACACAGCGCAATAGATATGAGTAATGCAAAGTGACAGCAGTGAAACAGCACGACTACAATTAAAAAAACATGACTATAAACACACGGATGATGGAGAAGATAAAAAAAAGATTACATTTAGGGACCCAAAAATACTTTTCCACCACTGGCATAAAAAAAACCTCTGCCTAACAACTGATACATATTTAATGGTTAACATTTACCGTAATGACTTTTACTCAAAACAGCAAGGGAGGAGAGAAGGCTTGTATTTGGGCGATGACATTTGAAATGTGGTCTCTGAAAAAAGTGTGTTTTTTTATTCAAATAGCATGACATTTACATGTTATATCATTACTTATAAGAGAATGGTTTATATCCCTTCCTTCCATCCACTGCTGGATGAAGACCTCCCCATGCTAGGTCAGTCATGGGAGGTGAAATGGTCATACATCGATACTTCAGGTTGGTGAAGAGTAGCAGGGTTAGGGGTCCAGCACCAGTTGTGATATCACTCACCACTGATGGTGGCCTTGGCTGGGAATTGAACTCGGGTCGTGGGTTCATGGCGCCGTGAGCCAAACACTGTCGCCACTCAGATATTATATCAAGTGATTAGACGTCACGACGGATGGAAATGTAATTAACTGTGATGTAATTACATTCAGCAGTGCTGGCTGTATGCTCCATCAATCAAATGTGACGGCTGTGACCAGAGCTTAATTTTCTCACCGATTAATTTCCGGGGCGCAGGTCGAGTGGACGGAGTAGGTAGCCAGAGCCGTAGCGAGAGGTACACTGGATGTGGTTGTGCCGGGTGCAACAGTATGTTTTGGGTAGTCGACCCCGGACAGACCCGGCTGAAATTAATCCCTGCATGAGACGGCGGCTTGTTGAATGATGTATGCATGTATGTTGAACTTCTTTCGCACCGTACATAGCCAACCGTGCTAATCGGAGGTCATTGAGAAGGCGCTGCAAGGAGACTCACCCACAGTGCCTTCCCATCACCTCCAGCACAAACGTCCGCTGGTGGCTGCAACAAAGCACACGTCCAAGGTTAGACTTCCGCGTCAGAAGCTGCTGTCATATCTGGGATGTGGAGCAACCTCCTCTGACCTCGCTGGCTCCGTAAAGCAGGAGCGATGATTGACGATCGTGATCCAACACCGACTAATTAACTGCAAACCTGCAGCTAGTTACAGTGAGGGAAAAAGTATTTGATCCCCTGCTGATTTTGTACGTTTGCCCACCGACAAAGAAATGATCAGTCTATAATTTTAATGATAGGTTTATTTGAACAGTGAGAGACAGATTAACAACAAATAACATCCAGAAAAAACGCATGTCAAAAATGTTATAAATCGATTTGCATTTTAATGAGGGAAATAAGTATTTGACCCCCTCTCAATCAGAAAGATTTCTGACTCCCAGGTGTCTTTTATACAGGTAATGAGCTGAGATTAGGAGCACACTCTTAAAGGGAGTGCTCCTAATCTCAGCTTGTTACCTGTATAAAAGACACCTGTCCACAGAAGCAATCAATCAATCAGATTCCAAACTCTCCACCATGGCAAAGACCAAAGAGCTCTCCAAGGATGTCAGGGACAAGATTGTAGACCTACACAAGGCTGGAATGGGCTACAAGACCATTGCCAAGCAGCTTGGTGAGACTGTGACAAAAGTTGGTGCGATTATTCGCAAATGGAAGAAACACAAAAGAACTATCAATCTCCCTCGGCCTGGGGCTCCATGCAAGATCTCACCTCGTGGAGTTGCAATGATCATGCGAATGATGAGGAATCAGCCCAGGACTACACGGGAGGATCTTGTCAATGATCTCAAGGCAGCTGAGACCATAGTCACCAAGAAAACAATTGGTAACAAACTACGCCGTGAAGGACTGAAATCCTGCAGCGCCCGCAAGGTTCCCCTGCTCAAGAAAGCACATATACATGCCCGTCTAAAGTTTGCCAATGAACATCTGAATGATTCAGAGGACAACTGGGTGAAAGTGTTGTGGTCAGATGAGACCAAAATGGAGCTCTTTGGCATCAACTCAACTTGCCGTGTTTGGAGGAGGAGGAATGCTGCCTATGACCCCAAGAACACCATCCCCACCATCAAACATGGAGATGGAAACATTATGCTTTGGGGGTGTTTTTCTGCTAAGGGGACAGGACAACTTCACCGCATCAAGAGGACGATGGACGGGGCCATGTACCGTCAAATCTTGGGTGAGAACCTCCTTCCCTCAGCCAGGGCATTGAAAATGGGTCGTGGATGGGTATTCCAGCATGACAATGACCCAAAACACACGGCCAAGGCAACAAAAGATTGGCTCAAGAAGAAGCATATTAAGGTCCTGGTGTGGCCTAGCCAGTCTCCAGACCTTAATCCCATAGAAAATCTGTGGAGGGAGCTGAAGGTTCGAGTTGCCAAACGTCAGCCTCGAAACCTTAATGACTTGGAGAATATCTGCAAAGAGGAGTGGGACAAAATCCCTCCTGACATATGTGCAAACCTGGTGGCCAACTACGAGAAACGTCTGACCTCTGTGATTGCCAACAAGGGTTTTGCCACCAAGTACTAAGTCATGTTTTGCAAAGGGGTCAAATACTTATTTCCCTCATTAAAATGCAAATCAATTTATAACATTTTTGACATGCGTTTTTCTGGATTTTTGTTGTTGTTATTCTGTCTCTCACTGTTCAAACAAACCTACCATTAAAATTATAGACTGATCATTTCTTTGTCAGTGGGCAAACGTACAAAATCAGCAGGGGATCAAATACTTTTTTCCCTCACTGTACCTCTGTATCGCTCTTATGTCGCTACCACTCTGGTTTATTTTCCCACTCATGTTTTAACCCTGCGTACATTTGCTTACTCATCAAAGTCCAGTAAATTATTGCTACCGTGTGTAAAGCGGGTTTGTGCTTTGTATTTTTTTTGTCCGGCAACCATGTTTGAGCAAAGGTGTCACTGTAATTTTCTGCAGATGTTCACATATCTGAACTTTTCACATATCCTGCTTGTCACTCTTTTGTTTGCTTGCCACCACAGCAACCGTTCCCATGGACTTCACTCATTACTTCCTGCACCGCTGTGTCGTGGGACCCACGTTGCGTTCACCCACGTTGCGTTCACCCACCACACCGCAAGTCTCTGTGCACTTATTATCATTATTATGATTGGACTCTTTTTAACTCTCTCCTCCTGTCGTGATGAAGCCATCGCTTTCTCAACATTCGATCACCCGTTGAGGCGAATGTAAGAAGGTCGTTAGGAAATCAGTGGGATATATGATATATATCAAATATATATATAAGATGATATACACATTGATCACCGTGTATGGCAATATGGTATTCCCTTGTTATTTGCGGGTGATACTTCCCGGAGATGCTCGTTAATGGAAAATTTCGCTGCTGGATGAAGGCCTCCCCATGCTCTCTAAAACTAAACTATACAAAATGTTGATGTTATTTTTATTTTACCGAAAATACATAAATAAGCTATTGGATACATGCACATTATCATCAGATATCACTTTATCTCATCATTTTATCTCATCACATTCTCTCTCATCACTTTATCCCTCTCTCTCTCGATGCAGTCGTGCATCGAGAGAGAGAGAGATGCGATTCGCGGATCGCAAGCTCGTGAATAACGAAGGAATACTGTGCATGAAAGGGGTTCACGTCACCCGTGCAGCCGCTAGAGATGCCACATTCATCACAATGGCCGCAACAAATCGATTCGCGAGCCAAAATCGTGACAATTCATCGGGTTGCGAGGGCTTGAATCATTCGGTGACAAAATACTCTCAGGCTTGGCATCTTCAGTTGAAACATCAACCAGCCAAAGGACCTGATGACAGAATAAAATAAATGATCGTTGTCTTTTTCCACAATTACGCTGGAATAAGTGCGTGGGGTTTCTCCTGGGGATATCGGTTTCCTCCCACGCATTACATGAAAAATTATCCAATAAAATAGTCCTGTCTGATTATAACGAAAGGAAATATGTCTATCAATTTCTATTTATCTGCATTTGTGTTTTTCCATATCTTTCTATAATTCTCTCTGTCTACCTGCATCACCTTATATGCGTGTCTCTCTGTACGTCTACCGATAAGTCTATCTAAAACATTTTCATGTTTCCATTTAACTGTCCTCACACTACTTTGGGCCCACCTATGACCCGAGCCGTACAAGGGGAGGAATTCTCAACAGTGGTTGCTCACGTCAGCACTCTCTCAGCAGCAGCAGCCTTACATGTGGCCCCACGCACAGACACGCACGTACGCACGCACACACGTGCGCGTGTGTGCGTGTCTGTCCGTGGGTGCGGTCGCGTAGTGGTGAGTGTGCTGCGCTGCGAACCCGGTATCCCGAGTTCGATTCCCGCTCACGGCCAACACCAGTGGCGATTATCTGGACCGGTCCTGGGCCTTGCCTAGATCGACTCAGCCTCAAATGAGTACCTGGTGCGATGTGTAAACATCGCCACTGGGGAGACAAAGGCGGCCGGGCGTGGTGCTGGCCACCCACCCCCTCATATGCCACTCCGGCCTTCATAGGTGCTCGCTAACAGCATTTTCCCCAACAGTCTGTTAAAGTCTATACGGGGGATCTTTGTTTTTGTCTTTGGGTGTGGGGAGCGGTGGCGCCGTGGTTAGCATGCTGAGCTAAGAATCCGGCTACCCCAGTTCAATTCCCGCTCACGGCCACTAACACCAGTGGCGGTTACCTGGACCGATCCTGGGCCCTCCCTTAGGTCGACTGAACCTGGTGGTCACCGGCGCCCCGTCGTGTGCCACGCCGGCCTTCATAGGTGCTCACTAACAGCACTTGCCCCAACAGTCTGTTAAGGCTATACGGGGGATTTTTGTCTTTGCGTGCCCAACAGCTGTGGCACGACCCTCTTGTTAAACGCCGCTCGTGGTCGGTGCCTTTTAGCCGCGTCCACTGGCGGTGGTTTCACTTAAAATACTTCGCTGTCTGGTTCCCATTTATAGGTCCAATTACAGGCGCGACAGTGTTTTTGTGTTTTAATTCCATGTACATCCGGTCTCCCCATCACCCCCCCCTTCTCCCTGCAGTATAAGGTCAAGATTTTTCTTCTCCCTTTTGCTTTCTTGTGAGACGGCCCCAATGCGAAGCGAGTGTCCGTTGCCGTGGCAGTTTGCAGGCCAAGAGGAATTTTACAGTTCTGGGTCAACACTGACAACAGTTTAAAGGCCCTCTCCCAAATAGCGTAGGGGCAGACTTGAGAGGTCTGGTGTGGACTATGCGGCTGTTGTCAGATCTGACAGAGGGAAGGAAGTGATGCGGGTGTGTGGTGGCATCGTCGGTATTGGCTGCGACGACCTCTTGGACTCGTTATTAATCTAAGGCAGGGGTCTGCAACCAAAATAACAAGGTGAAACGATGATTTGTTAATTCGGTGAAAACAAAAATCCCTTTAAAGAGTCGCAACGCACGCGAGCACGAGACGGTGGTCCCTACATGAACAACGTCACGAAGCAGCAGTCCTTAGAGAGCCGCACGCAACTCCAGAGCCGCAGGTCGCCGACCCCTGACCTGCACGTGTCGTCGTCAGCCATGGTTTACCCACTGCTAGATGGAGGCCTCCCCAAAGCCTTCACCATCTCTTACAGTCTTTTGAGCCAACAATCCATACAGCTCCCATGCTGTAGCTGATTTTTATCGCTCCATCTCCACAGCGGAAGGGCCTCTTGGGCGAGTTCCCTCCTTTTGCTGCCTTCCGATCGTGAGTCTCGACCACCGGAACGTCATTCGTAGTGGCAACGTGTTCTACCCAAGCCCGGCTTAAAACGTCTTTAAAAAGTCGATGCGACATTGCTAACTTGCGCTATGCTCTTCTAATCCTCCCCGTGTCTCGCCGCAATGTGATGCGTGCGCGTGTCCACGCTTCTGTGTGAACTTTTCAGCTTCTGCTCAAATGTCCACGTTTCGCACGACTCGTGTGGTGTAGCGGATCGTATTATACATATATAATATAGCAGGTCGTAATATGAACAATATGATATAGTGGGTCGTAATATGATCAATATAATATAGCGGGTCGTAATATGATCAATATAATATAGCGGGTCGTAATATGATCAATATAATATAGCGGGTCGTAATATGATAAATATAATATAGCAGGTCGTAATATGATTAATATAATATAGCGGGTCATAATATACATTGTGTGGTGTTGCGTTTCACGAAACATGCTCATCGCTCTCGAGATTACTTCTCTCTGATTACTTCTCTCTGATTACTTCTCTCTGATCACTTCTCTCTGATCACTTATCTCTGATTACTTCTCTCTGATTACTTATCTCTGATTACCTCTCTCTGATTACTTCTCTCTGATTACTTATCTCTGATTACTTATCTCCGATTACTTCTCTCCGATTACTTCTCTCTGATTACTTCTCTCTGATTACTTCTCTCCATAAGGAGTGCAATTTTCCCTAAGGCTGGCGTCATAAGCAGCGCGAGGATGTGACGTTGTATGGTGTCCCAAGCGTTGTAATGATCACAGAGTAATCCTGCAATGTAATGATAGCTCGAAGGTAAAGGTGCAGCCCTGCAATTGCTCGCTCGAGCCAATGCTGGGGGAAGGGCCTCCTTGAGAGGGAGCTCTGGAGAGACCCTCTCGAGGGTATGTGGCCTCCTCTTCCACATTCTAGAATGAAAGTTTGTGCCATATCATGCAATTGCCAGTCATGCAAACTACCAAATGTGATTCATTTACGCATAAATAAATAAGTCACGTGACTCATTTCCAAAACATTGAACAAAGCCAACCGAGCTGAAACCGCTCAGTCACATCGGACAGAACTACGTTCATGCTCACTGGATTTCCACGAACAAGTCACCGAAATAACCTGGGCTTCATTCAAATTAAAGTTACTGATATTCGTATGAGTTGAGTGAGAGTAATTTTCCATTCTCCAAAATAAAATGGATTCTCCTGAATGTCCCACCAGAGTCACAGTCATGCAATTTACCCGTGAAATTTGCTAGTGGCTGAGTGTAGCTGGCATTAGCTTCCGGAGCAACACACTGCAGTGCTGAGATGTGAACTATCTCGCCTGGTATACAGGTGGTCGTGGGTCCGATCCCGACCCTGACGCCTCTATATTCGGAGTTTGCATGTTCTCCCTGTGGTTGCGTGGATTTTTCTCTGGGTCCTCCAGTTTTTCCCTCCACATTTAGAATCAAGGTGCATTCAGATTATTTGGCTGCTATACATTCCCACGTGACAAGCCACTTTGTTGAGCTATCATTTGTGGCCAGGTCTCTTCTGAAAAAAGAGCTACATAGCTCAGTGGGCCTTACCTGGTACAATACAATAGCTTAGTTTAGTAAAAAAGCAAACGCAAAACCAAAATGACACCGAAACTGCCGTTTCGGCCCGCCGCCTCTCCTCTGCTGGGGGCCCCGTCACACCTGGTGGCCGTGGTCATGATGGCGTCCACCACCTCCACGATGCGGTGCAGCGCCGAGTCGGCGCCGATGGTCATGTCCGTGCCGCAGAAGTCGTTATCGATGGAGCCCACGAGGCCCACGACGTGAAGGTTGCTGCAGCGCCCCGCCACCTCCTCCGAGATTTTGCCTGGTCGGCGCACGAGAAAGTTCTCGCTCGTCAGGATTGTTTTCGGCAATTGGTTGTGTTCTCGTCGTCATCACTGTCATCGTCACAGTCGACTTTGTTCATCGTCGTCATTTGATGCGCTCATCGGGCACTAGAGGGGGAATAATTTCAACCTGGCAGCACTGTGTTTCTGATCAGGCATGCTCAGCCACCGTTTGTCTTTCAAGTATGTTTGAGCAACGCAGTCAATGTATAGAGTCCTCGTGCCAACGAACGTGTGACCTGGCATCTATTCGACCCCCGGGAAGAAAATGGTTCCCACCCCCAGAGGAGGTGCTGGTCCATCGGGGGTGCCTGGCGCAGACATTATTATTGGGTGGGGGGGGCCCTTTCAATAAACTCCAAGTGAGATGACAGAAGAGAGATATAGCGATGTAGTGAGATGAGCTCTGGCGAGACCAGAGAAATGTGCACGAAGGACAGAGCTGTAGCGAGAAGAGAGGGATGCAGATGGCACAGATGTAGTGAGAAGAGAGGGATGCAGATGGCACAGCTGTAGCGAGAAGAGAGAGATGCAGATGGCACAGATGTAGTGAGAAGAGAGAGATGCAGATGACACAGATGTAGCGAGAAGAGAGGGATGCAGATGGCACAGATGTAGTGAGAAGGGAGAGATGCAGATGGCACAGATGTAGTGAGAAGAGAGGGATGCAGATGGCACAGATGTAGTGAGAGGAGAGAGAGATGCAGATGGCACAGATGTAGCGAGAAGAGAGAGATGAAGATGGCACAGATGTAGCGAGAAGAGAGAGATGCAGATGGCACAGATGTAGTGAGAAGAGAGAGAGATGCAGATGGCACAGATGTAGTGAGAAGAGAGGGATGCAGATGGCACAGATGTAGTGAGAAGAGAGAGAGATGCAGATGGCACAGATGTAGTGAGAAGAGAGGGATGCAGATGGCACAGATGTAGTGAGAAGAGAGGGATGCAGATGGCACAGATGTAGTGAGAAGAGAGAGATGCAGACGGCACAGATGTAGTGAGAAGAGAGGGATGCAGATGGCACAGATGTAGTGAGAAGAGAGGGATGCAGATGGCACAGATGTAGTGAGAAGAGAGGGATGCAGATGGCACAGATGTAGTGAGAAGAGAGGGATGCAGATGGCACAGATGTAGTGAGAAGAGAGGGATGCAGATGGCACAGCTGTAGCGAGAAGAGAGAGATGCAGATGGCACAGATGTAGTGAGAAGAGAGAGATGCAGATGACACAGATGTAGCGAGAAGAGAGGGATGCAGATGGCACAGATGTAGTGAGAAGGGAGAGATGCAGATGGCACAGATGTAGTGAGAAGAGAGGGATGCAGATGGCACAGATGTAGTGAGAGGAGAGAGAGATGCAGATGGCACAGATGTAGCGAGAAGAGAGAGATGAAGATGGCACAGATGTAGCGAGAAGAGAGAGATGCAGATGGCACAGATGTAGTGAGAAGAGAGAGAGATGCAGATGGCACAGATGTAGTGAGAAGAGAGGGATGCAGATGGCACAGATGTAGCGAGAAGAGAGAGATGCAGATGGCACAGATGTAGTGAGAAGAGAGAGAGATGCAGATGGCACAGATGTAGTGAGAAGAGAGGGATGCAGATGGCACAGATGTAGTGAGAAGAGAGAGAGATGCAGATGGCACAGATGTAGTGAGAAGAGAGGGATGCAGATGGCACAGATGTAGTGAGAAGAGAGAGATGCAGACGGCACAGATGTAGTGAGAAGAGAGGGATGCAGATGGCACAGATGTAGTGAGAAGAGAGGGATGCAGATGGCACAGATGTAGTGAGAAGAGAGGGATGCAGATGGCATAGATGTAGCGAGGAGAGATGCAGATGGCACAGATGTAGCGAGGAGAGATGCAGATGGCACAGATGTAGCGAGGAGAGAGAGATGCAGATGGCACAGCTGTAGCGAGAAGAGAGAGATGCAGATGGCACAGATGTAGTGAGAGGAGAGAGAGAGATGCAGATGGCACAGCTGTAGCGAGAAGAGAGAGATGCAGATGGCACAGATGTAGCGAGAAGAGAGAGATGCAGATGGCACAGATGTAGCGAGAAGAGAGAGATGCAGATGGCACAGATGTAGTGAGAAGAGAGGGATGCAGATGGCACAGATGTAGTGAGAAGAGAGAGATGCAGATGGCACAGATGTAGCAAGGAGAGAGAGATGCAGATGGCACAGATGTAGTGAAATAAGAGGGTTGCAGACAGCCGGCTGGGACGGGAGAAAAGACCCGGAGACAGGAGATTGATGATAGACATGAATTCACTTTTCACGCGAATAATCTTTTAGGTTTATTATGATTCGAATTCTAACTGATATTTGGTGCATCTATATACACACACACACGCAATATAAACTTGTTTTTGTTTCTGAATGCGAGTCTCCTTTGAGCTACTTGGGGGTGGGGGGGGGGGGGGGCTACGCTCAAGCTGAGTTTGCTCGAGCGAAGTGCCAATGCCGTGCCATCGTGCGGCTCTGCCGGGTCTGGGAGCCACCTTGCTTGAGGAGGCTCTGCACGTGCTCGCCCCACTCCTGGCGGAACATGTTGGCGCCCGTGAGGCTGCCGTCGCCGCCGATGATGCACAGGTTGGTGATGCCGTGCTCCAGGAGGTGCAGGGCCGCCTGCTCGCGCCCGTCACGGCCGCGGAAGTCCTTGCAGCGTGCGCTGCCGATGACGGTGCCGCCCTGCAGGTTCACCACGCAACACCGGCTCGGCACGGCGACGCGACGCGCGAGCGTGGGCGTGTGTTGTTTGTGTTAGGTCGACTCGGTCGGTCAACCCGTGGGTCTGGCCCGTGACCTCCTGCCAGTGAGCCGTCAACACTTCTCGTGGCCTTAAAGTGCACAGAGCCGGGGAAATGGCGGTTGCTGTTAGGTGGACTCAGTCTCAAATGAGGAACCTGGTGCTGAGTGTTATCATCGCCACTCGGGAGGCAGAGGCGGCCCCGGCGTGGCGTTGGCCACCAATCCTCTCGTGTGCCGTCCCGGCCTTCGTAGGCGCTCACTAACGGCGCTTGCCCCAAAAGTCTGTTAAGGCTACACGGGGGATCTTTGTCTCTTTTTCAGAAGTTACTTGGACACAAATGATAGCGCGACAAAGTAGCTTAACATGTGGACATTTTTTTATAGCAGCCAAATACCGCACGTTTATAAATGTGGAGGGGAAAACAGGGAGGACCTGGATAAAATGCACGTGGCCACGGGGAGAACATGGAAGTTTTGAATATACAGTGAGGGAAAAATGTATTTGATCCCCTGCTGATTTTGTACGTTTGCCCACTGACAAAGAAATGATCAGTCTATAATTTTAATGGTAGGTTTATTTGAACAGTGAGAGACAGAATAACAACAACAAAATCCAGAAAAACGCATGTCAGAAATGTTATTAATTGATTTGCATTTTAATGAGGGAAATAAGTATTTGACCCCTCTGCAAAACATGACTTAGTACTTGGTGGCAAATCCCTTGTTGGCAATCACAGAGGTCAGACGTTTCTTGTAGTTGGCCACCAGGTTTGCACACATCTCAGGAGGGATTTTGTCCCACTCCTTTTTTGCAGATCTTCTCCAAGTCATGAAGATTTTGAAGCTGACGTTTGGCAACTCGAACCTTCAGCTTCCTCCACAGATTTTCTATGGGATAAAGGTCTGGAGACTGGCTAAGCCACTCCAGGACCGTAATGTGCTTCTTCTTGAGCCACTCCTTTGTTGCCTTGGCCGTGTGTTTTGGGTCATTGTCATGCTGGAATACCCATCCACAGCCCATTTTCAATGCCCTGGCTGAGGGAAGGAGGTTCTCACCCAAGATTTGACGGTACATGGTCCCGTCCATCGTCCCTTTGATGCGGTGAAGTTGTCCTGTCCCCTTAGCAGAAAAACACCCCCAAAGCATAATGTTTCCACCTCCATGTTTGACGGTGGGGATGGTGTTCTTGGGGTCATAGGCATTCCTCCTCCTTCAAACACGGCGAGTTGAGTTGATGCCAAAGAGCTCCTTTTTGGTCTCATCTGACCACAACACTTTCACCCAGTTGTCCTCTGAATCATTCAGATGTTCATTGGCAAACTTCAGACGGGGATGTATATGTGCTTTCTTGAGCAGGGGGACCTTGTGGGGAAATGCAGGATTTCAGTCCTTCACAGCGTAGTGTGTTACCAATTGTTTTCTTGGTGATTATAGTCCCAGCTGCCTTGAGATCATTGACAAGATCCTCTCGTGTAGTTCTGGGCTGATTCCTCACCATTCTCATGATCATTGCAACTCCACGAGGTGAGATCTTGCATGGAGCCCCAGGCTGAGGGAGATTGACAGTTCTTTTGTGTTTCTTCCATTTGCGAATAATCGCACCAACTGTTGTCACCTTCTCACCAAGCTGCTTGGCAATGGTCTTGTAGCCCATTCCAGCCTTGTGTAGGTCTACAATCTTGTCCCTGACATCCTTGGAGAGCTCTTTGGTCTTGGCCATGGTGGAGAGTTTGGAATCTGATTGATTGATTGCTTCTGTGGACAGGTGTCTTTTATACAGGTAACAAGCTGAGATTATGAGCACTCCCTTTAAGAGTGTGCTCCTAATCTCAGCTCGTTACCTGTATAAAAGACACCTGGGAGCCATAAATCTTTCTGATTGAGAGGGGGGGTCAAATACTTATTTCCCTCATTAAAATGCAAATCAATTTCTAACATTTTTGACATGCGTTTTTCTGGATTTTGTTGTTGTTATTCTGTCTCTCTGTGTTCAAATAAACCTACCATTAAAATTTAGAGAGCCCCTCTCCCTAGAGGGCATTTGGGCCTACTCCTCCACGCTAGGAAGCACTCACACTTTACCCCACCACACGTGACCTGCCAACCGACGATTTGCGGCATGTACATGAATCCTGCTTGGTGGACAGTCAGTGCGGTTCATTTTCATCATAGAGGTGTGATGGGATTAGGACATCGTGTTTATTATATATTCCGTTTATAAGTAGATTTTTTTTTTGTAATCACAAATGATTTGGCTATATCCATTCTGACATATGCAAAGACTTTTCTCGACTTGCGTAGCATTTGTTTTAAATGAACAAGAGGAAACGGTGAAATTGCAGCCAAGCAATCGCCTTGTCACGCCACTGCTAGCGAGAAGGGCCCCCACGAGGTTGGGACAAGCGTAGGAATTAAAATACCTGCACACTTGTCGTACAAGACGGGCAACATTTCTGCACCCACGAACAACCACGTCTCGCGGTGGAGAGATGTTGACTCCCTCACCTGGCATGCAGGAGGTCCTGGGTTCGATCCCGACCTTGACTTCTGTATATTTGGAGTTGTTTTTTCCTTCCACATTTAGAAGAACATGCATTTAGAGTATTTGACTGCTATAATTTTCCACGTGATCAGCCACTTTGTTGAGCTATCATTTGTGGACAGGTCACTTCTGAAATAGAGCCATATAGCTCAGTGCGCCTTACCTGGTAAGATAAAAAAAAATACTACATTCGTAAATAACGCTGTGTTACCATAAAAGGAAATGTCCCTGACTCACAGCACACAAATAGAGAAGGGCCATTGGCTGAAACGTCATCTATTGTATATTTTGCCTTTCAATGCCACACCCAGTGTTACTGACATATGTGTGAATGACCCTTTTGTCATCGATTGTTCTCGTGCACCACTGCCAAAGCAGGTTCACCAAATGATTTTCGTAATTTTCAGCAAACCCACAGGAGGGATATAATCCCTACCTTGCCTCGTACTTTATCCCTGGGAACTCTGAACTATTGTCAGTTGACTGTTGCCTGCCTTGGTAATTATGTCACGATGGTGGCAGCCTTCAAACTGGTACAGTATATTTTTTTCAAGTAGTGGAATCCCAAACTTTCACAGCTGTTTATTTTCCCTTCAAACCAACATTATGTAAACTCCCCCCCCGCGCCGGTCCATTATGTACCTCCTACGTACATCATGCTCATATTTATGCTAATTCCTTTGTCGAGGCGCTTTTGTTTCCTTCCACACAGCTTAAAGGACGCGACCTGGGCTTGGCTGTTTGCACTCCAACGCTGTCCTCTGGACAGTCCGGTCACTTCACCTGATGAAGGCCACTTGTGTTGTGGCCGAAACGTCGTGATTTTTTGTTGTTTTATTTTTTTACCTACGTGACTCTACCGAATAGAACTAAAGAGTATAGCCTTCAAACTTGTTGAGGCAAAGTACGCGGACTTGGGCAGAACGCGTCGCTAGGTGGGCACGAGGGCCTGATGTTCGAGACTAGGGGTCGGCAAACGCATCCCGCTCAGGATCCACATGCGGCTTTTTAAGGACTGCTGCCTCGTGACTTTATTTTCTAAGGACCACCGTCTCGTATTCACCGCGTGCACTGCGGCCCTTCTTGTTATTTTGGTTTCCGACCCGCCCCCCCCCGGCAAGATAAGTGAACGGGGAGAGGCACCCAAGGAATGGAGCCCACGTGAGAGGACGCCCCCTGAGAATTTGGAGCGATGGCATCGACTCGTGTGAAGCAGCAGTGGCGGATAGGTGGGTTAGCACAGCACGGGATCATGAGAGACGGCTTAGGGTGAGGCCTTCATCCAGCAGTGGATTGACCATGGCTGATAACGGCGGTGATACTTGTGAGCAGCGTGATAATGCCTTCGGGTGTTTTGCAAGCGATGATAACATTTTCGCAAAGACGAGAAAGGGCACTGAAATTGATCGTTCGATTGCTCATTTTTGCTTAAAGGTCATTAAGCATCCCTTGAGATCTCAGCAATCTGTCACCCGCACGTCTTTCCTCGCGAGTAATCGTGGCTAAAAATAATTGACAATTGAATTTTTCTCGCCCAAGACCGCACTTTTCAAACATGCGATGAAACGCACGAATTCCTGACTTCCAACGCCCCGCCGGCTGGACAGCTGTGCCCACATTTTATTAAAATAAAGTTACATTGAAGAAATAAATAAAACTGCCCCTTGGTTGTCCAACGGCTTTGCTTTGGCCAACTTACAAGTAAATGTAAAAAAACATTCAATTTACCCTAAACATTCGCCTTCAGCATCCAGGACGTGTGTCCGTGGTCCGGTGTTGATGCGATGCTGCTGCTGGCTATATTTGAGCCAGGGACACTGTTTATGTACAGTGCACATTGTTTGTTTGGCACACAATGGTTTTCTTTTAAATGTACACACACGCAGTGGCGGTGAGGTCGGGCTGTGTCCAAGGCACCCGATGATCTCCCCCCCCACCCCGATGTTTGGAAGTTTGTGGCATGAACGGGTTTCGGTTTTGTGAACTACGCGCTGTTCTGCAACTGAATCGAGATTCCTGAAGAAGCTCCCAGTGCGTGGGGTGAAACGTCGGACATCATCATCATCATCGAGCTTTACGGCAAAGCCGCAGAGAAACTTGCCACCACCCTGCAGGAATGTTCGACACGAGGATGTTGGAGGTCTATGGATGACGTGAAGCAATGTACAGCCCATTGTCGTCAATCCACTGCGGGATGAAGACCTCCCTGCACCCGTGTCGATCATCACGGCGGTGGGGTTGGTTGAGCGGTCGTCGCCGATTTGAGCCGTGGCCGGGATTCAAGCTCACTTAATTTGGACCTCCCTTACCAGTATCAAAAAATAGGAATAGGTTTTACCCTTTCTGGCAATAAAAGTTGTGTTAAGACGTTAAAACACCAAACTGAAGCCTTTTTGCAAGGAATCATGTCTGCATTAACCACATATACTTGTGGTGAACATGCGAACACCACAAGTATATATATATTTTAACATCTTAACACCTGTTTTATTGCCAGAAAGGGTAAAACCTATTCTTATATTCATTTCGTTGGGTTCACAGCACAGTGAGCCAACCACTGCACCACCTCTTACACCACTGGTGGTTTCTAGCGAAATAACAAAAAATACTTCCTGCTTTTCATAATATGGAAAATGGCCTTCTCTTGCTCGAGGGCCTTTTTTTAGAATGGTTCACTGCAAGGGAATTAGAGCGGTTGACAAGTCTTGGAAGGTTTGTGTTGGGCGTGTGCCTGATGTGCTTGCTGATAGAAGCGCCGAAGAACAGGGAAGTGAATTTTCAGTAATATCGAGTGCTAAAACGCCTCACCCATCACACCACAGTCAATATCTAGTCATACCGATTCACACATCAGTCCACTTCTGGATGAAGACCTTTAAGTTTAAAGTTTATTTCTTTAACCAGATCATATTTCATGAGACCACGATTGTCTCATTTGTTAGAGAGACCTGGGTCCCCCAAATATTACCTCGGTGTCGTGTCATTCACATTCGGGGTTGTTTCACCATACTTCCCCATGCTCGGATGGCAAAGGTGGGAGACCCAGGACTCGTTTAGCTATCACTCGCCAAGATGTCTGCCGTGGCTGGGCATCCAACGCAGATGACTGGGTTCAAAGCATGGTGCGCTAACCACCGTGCCACCGCTCTCGCCCCAAAATACCTGGTAGAGGTCACAGAAATGATTATTTCTCAGTTCTCCCTTGCAAAAGAAACAACGTGAAGAGTGACTGGCTTGCCACTGCAGTACAATGCCACCGCGCTGCTATGAGGCAAGACCATGCATGCAACACCCTTCGTGACAATACAGAGGTGCCTTTATGAGGCAGTGGAGGAAGTAGGTTGCTAGTTGAATGAATACTGTTCTCTCATCTGTGTGTGTGTGTATGTGCGTGCGTGCGTTTTGGGGAGGAGTAGTGTAGCAGTTAGTGTGCTGTGCTACGACCCGGGTTAGATTTCCGCTCACATCAATGCCAGTGACGATTATCTGAACCAGTCCTGGGCCTCCCCTAAGTCGACCTAGCCTCAAATGAGGACCTCGTGTGGTGTGTGAACATCGCCACTAGGGATACAAAGGCGGCCAAGCATGGTGATGGCCACCCGCTCCCTCGTGTGCTGTGCCGGCCTTCATAGGTGCTCGCTAGCAGCACTTGCCCCAGCAGTATCTAAAGGCTGTACTGGTGATCTTTATCTTTGTGTTGGCAACAACATTGATTTGGTCACCCGCTGATGAATTCATTCATCCCAGGCATCGATTGTTTCTGTGTCGGTCGACGCACTATGGGTCAACGAAGTGGTGTGGACGTGGCGCCATCTGGGCACCCTTTTCCCTAGAGAAGGCCCCAGTGTTGTTTAATTTGCCACAGCTCTTATGTGTGTCGCCAGGCTTCCTTGGTGTGCATGTTGAACACTGCTGCCATTGAGGATGGCACTCTCCATATACGCCTAAAACAACTCGCACCCTTAGTAGACTCCCCCCCCCCAAAAAAAAAACCACACAAGCTCAACCAAAGCAGGTGCCTGAATGATAGATTTAAGATTTTTTACTCAACCAAAGCAGGTGCCTGAATGATAGATTTTAGACTTTTTTTACTTTACCACGTGTCTGTTATTACACAGGTGACCTAGTCCCCCTCCCCTCCCCCATTAGCAAACGACCAGATCCTGCCGATGACACACGGCACCCACCAGCTGGAGGATCCCAGAGACGCTCTCCCATGTCGCCTCTCGGATGTTGTCTCCTCCGTCCACCATCCCTTGGTAACCCTGAAAACACAAACGCACACGGGCGCAGAGAGGAGAGGCGGTGGACGGTTAGGAGTCACTGGCAGCTTGGTTTGTGAATAACACGGTTCTTGGTCCTTCCTGTTTGATGCGCCACTTTATACTAAACTAAAAGCGTATAAAACATTTAGCTATTTTAGTAGGTAAGGCCCACTGAGCTATGTAGCTCTTTTTTCTGAAGTGACCTGACCACAAATTATCGTTCAACGAAGTGGTTTATCTTGTGGAAATGTATTGCAGTCAAATACTCTAAAGGCATGTTTCTAAATGTGGAGAAAATTCCACACGCCCACGGGGAGAACACGCAAACTTTAATATACAGGTATCAGGACCAGGATCTCACCCACAACCTGCATATCAGACGAGGTAGTTAACGCGTGGTCTGTATCAGAGATGATCGCTTCTATAGCCAGGTAACAATACCATTATAATTTCCAATTATAAAAATTTCATCCATTGCCAAGGTCCAGTCCGTCTGAGACCATCCCTCTCCCTGCCAAAGTGGCATCGCACCCACCGCTCACCCTTCATCCTGCAGATGGTGGACGCACAGGACGGCACCACGTAGCCATTTCGGACTGGGCCCTACCTGGTTATATGTGGCTGGCTCACTCGGCACACCAAGTGCTTTCCGGCGAACACTACCCCCAGGCCTGGCTCGGGGAGGGGGGTATCCCGGTACACCTTGTCAGGACGGAGTTCTCTGATTGTTTTTTCAGAACCATTCATAAGGGACTTCTGTTTCAACCGTTATTTGTTTGGAACATCTCCCCAGACCTGCTCGCCAGCAGAGATCCGAGCATGAGCACAAGACTCCAGGCCACATAGCTCTGAGGGTCAACAGAACAACACAAACCCCACCACCTTGATAAGCTTACGATCCTTTACTGGGCGTAGACCCCGGGGCCAGCCGAGGACACGCTGGTGGGACTATGTCGCTCGGATGGCCTGAGAACGCCTGGGAATTCTTCGGGAAGAACTAGAGTCCGTTGCGAGGATAAGCGGATTAAGAAACGAACGAACGAACAATTTAATTCAAAATTTATTATTTCTGAATTCTCATAATAAATGAAAATTCACCATCCTTTTTGTCAAACCGCTTCTGGATGAAGCCCTCCTCACATTCATGTTGGTTATGGGATTTGGTGAAGGTGGGACCCAGGACTGGTTCAATCACAACATGCCACTGATGTTAACCGTGGCTGAAAATCAAGTTTCTCTTGTCGGGTTCACAATGCAGTGCGCTAACCATATGTGGCATCGATCACCCTATTTATATGAAATGTATTTGTTAAGGAATGTGTCACGGCACAGAAATGGCCGCACTTACTGGCTCGCTCGATACATTAAATGCACACACTTATAAAGGAGAGCTCCTCTTATCTGCGGTGATTTGGGGGACCAATATCTGCGATTTTACACCTTATCTGCAGGGTAAAACAATCATGGATAACCTCGCAGATGGAAAACTCACGAGTATTAGGAAGCTGCTTTGTTATGCATTTTGGGTAAAATTATGGATCACCGCAAATAACAGGAAGAAATAGGTTTGTGGATAATAATTTATGCGGACCCGACAGTTTCCCCAGACAATAGGAGTCGTGGGTAATAGGGCCGCGGATAATAGGACATCTGATAATTACTGGACGTCTGTGAAACAGAGCTTCACGGCTCATCGGATTCTTCCAGGATAAAGATTCTGAATTAGGGCTCTCCTGTACAAATTCACCCTTCGAGTGTGCAGAGCTAGTGCGGTGCGCGAAACACTGCAACGACCGCTGCTCCCAATCGCATGAACCGAACAAAAAACAAATAGCGGCACGACATTATTCATTCATGTGCGGCCTCCACCGACAACACAAAGGAGAGGAGTACAGCTGTGGCTTATCCGTGGCTTATCGCTAGAGAGCGTCAGGGGTTTAGCACGAGACGGCGCCATTCAGCCCGAGTTGGGCTCTGAGTCTGCTGTACGTGCTGATGGGATCTGTGTCACTGACACAGGAGACTTTCTCTCTCTCCCTCTCTCTCGCCGGGCATTGCAGGACGAGAAGAAGAGCGCACTCAAGGCTTCACCAGAGGACGTCCCGCGGGCTTTGCGGGTGTCGGGGCTATTCTTGTGGCATGTGTCATCGACGCTTGGGTGGTTTGTGACCGATGTAAAGTGTCAGCAGCCACCGGTGGAATCACCACAGGAATGTATTTTCTGGCCGTCTGTGGCTTACTTTCTGCTGAGATGACTCATATCCCTTCCCCATCCCTCTATGTGCACTCGGAAGATCTCATTTATATTTCATCAAACCATTAGGTGAAAATGCCTCCCAATGCGATTACCATTTGTGCGCTCTTCTCGTCCCGTTATAGCGTGAAAGAGTAGGCCAAACACCCCTGCAGAGAGGCTCTCTAGAGCTCCCTCTAGTGGCTGTGAGCTGGCAATTTCAGGGCTGCACCCTTTACCTATGTGAGCGATACGCTGCTGGATGAAGACCTCCCCGTGCTGTGCCAGTCATGGCGGTTGCTTGACCATACTTCACCACGCTGGTCAATGCGGGGTTGGTGAACAAAGTGGGCGACCGTGGGGGTGGTGGGGGGGGGTCTATGACCAGATCACCCTCCGCTGATGAGAGCTGTGGCCAGAAATAGAATAAACGCTGCCTGGTTTGTAACACAATGCACTTGCCACTGTATGTATGTTGAACTTTTTTTTCGTATCGTATGTAGCCAACCGTGCTAATCGCCACTGCTGTTCCTAATTCTATAAATATGCGCCATGGCGTAGAAATTACAAATCAACTGTAAAGTGAAATTAAGCGAGCTTCATCTAACATGTTAATGTCATTGATTGGTTTAAACCGTCGCCCAACTTGCCCAATATTGAAAAAAATCACAAAGACAAAACTTCCGTGTAGCCTTAACAGACTGCTGGGGCAAGTGCTGTTAGCGAGCACCTATGAAGGCCGGCACAGCACACGAGGGGGTGGGTGGCCATCACCATGCTTGGCCGCCTTTGTATCCCTAGTGGCGATGTTCACACACCACACCAGGTCCTCATTTGAGGCTAGGTCGACTTAGGGGAGGCCCAGGACTGGTTCACATAATCGTCACTGGTATTGATGTGAGCGGAATTCCAACCTGGGTGGCCGGGTTCGTAGCGCAGCGTAGCGCTAACCGCTACACACTACCACCGCCCCCCAATCTCACACACACGCACGATCGTACCGGCGTTTGATGCGAAACTCCAAATAGACATTTAACGCCGCTAACTTTTTTTTTCCATCTCACACCTTAGGAGAAAGCGAATATCGGACTGCACTCAACGCGACTCGCAGCGCGGCGAGGCAAAGTGAAATATTTTGCCGGCGCCGTTGCATCTATGAAGGGGTGAACCGCTGCCACCTTCACTTCATGCAGCGGGCTGAGTGATCGATGCCTCCACGCCCGTGGGCCTGGGAAAGGAAACGCGATTGCTACGCGGAGACTAACCCAGATCCCCCCCCCCTGGCCCTCAGGGATTTGACGGAGATGGGAAAGGGTGGGTAGGAGCGCTGTTGGTAAGGGCGCAGAGAGGGAGGACGGGGCCACGCAGCTTCTTAATGCAGCCATAGCAACGCCTTGTGACGCACGCACGCCCGCCCGCCCGCCCGCGTGTACGTACGCGCAGACACAGCACATTAAACCTTCACGAAGCTCAAGGTCACGTTCAGCTTCGTCGCCACATGGCGGCCTGCGCGATTGCCCGATGCGCCTTTGTCCCTTGCAGTGCGAAGTCCCGGCGTGTAAAACGCGGCGTCGGCTCGCACACCTGGGTTTTTTTTTCGGAAAGCGCAATTGCGCGGAGGGACACCGCTCGCGAGCAAAACCAAAGGTCACCGCGACGCACCGCTTGTTCGCCGTCAGTCAAGATACAAAGACGTACAACACACAGCCGCGCCACAAATCCGGGGGACGCTTTTCGCTCGATGGCCTACGGCCGGCATCCACCGTGCGGGGTGACCACAAACAGAGTCGGCCGCGACCCGTCGAGCTGAACAAGCCCGCAACGTCGACGAGCACGTCCGTGGGGCGATGCGTTTCCCCTTTGTGTTGTTGTTCTTTGTGTTGCTCGACAATCAGCCCCCCGGGGGGGGTTGAGAATGAGCGTGGTTTCTCATTGCGAGCGCGCACGCCAAGTTGGCTGCCACCACAGTGGAAGGCGGTGGCGGTGGCTCTCGTAAAAACCTAACCATCCCACGCCCCCCCCCCCCCAAAAAAATAAATAAACCAGGCGTGAGATGTTTCAACCGCTGCTATCATCACGGCTAATGGCGCAGCTTCTCAAAGAGACGCCTGTTACTTTCCTACGCCGCCCCGCGGCGCATCGGGCCGCAGCCCGCTGGACCTGCACTCCGGAAGTCGTCACAGTGGGGCAAAAGTTTCTCAAATCCCACGCCCCACCCCTCCAGTGTGCCTCTGTACAGCCAGCAGTATAAATGGGTTCACCGCAGCGAGTCAGTCGATAGTTCGCGTATGGAGGGGTCAAGTGCGGGTACTCCCACGTCTTCCACGACGACTCTCCAGCGCGGAAAAGGAGGCCAAATACTGTCTAAGAACGGCTCGACGGTGGGGAAGCCCTTACGTCAGCAGTGGCGTGAGAAGGCAATTGCAGGGCTGCGCCTCTCTCTTTTTCACCCGTTAAAACTGTGGCCGAATGCCACTGACGTTCAGAGAGAGAGAGAGAGAAAGAGAGGAATATCATCATCATTATTATTATTTTCCCACAAGGCATGACTCGCTAGGAATGTTGAATCTACATCCCTCAAACTGGACGTGCCACATCCTGCACATTTGACGTCGTCGGCTCTCGGGGGGCCCCAGTGGAGACGAAGCGCCTTGCCGTTGTGGTCTTGCCGGGCCATGGGCTTTGGCGGTATCGGGGGGGGGGGGGGGGCTAAATTTACACCGTGGGCAGAGCGACTGACAAGGCGAGGACATCTCGGGTCACATTG